TTAATGCTTTGTGTTGTGTTGCCATATGCTCATCTGGGGGGTTGACAAAAAAAAGAAAGAAAAAAAAAGGCAAATAAAGCCACAAACCACTGGAACCTCTTTGAAGTGGTGATGCTGACAGAGACGTTGTGTCCAGCAGATCCAGGAGTGACCCTGTAACAGTCACAGTCGCTGCTGTAAACTTAGTAATGTCAGGTTTTGGGAGAGGGGCCCTTTAATCCTTTTATGTTCTGTGCTTTCAAATTATCCACAATATACGTTGTGAAGCAGTGCATCACACAGTGAAAATGTTTTTTAATTTCAGTGCCTGACTTGTGAATACTAAAAGTCCACCGTCCTCAAACCCAAACTGAGTCATGGCGCATTGATTACAAATTATTTGATTTGTGAAACCGTAATTCTATTCATGTGAGCAGAAAAGTAGGGATTTCCAATTTTCTCCAAATGTAGCTAATTTCCTGCCTGGTTTTACAAACCCACAATCATGTCTCGTCTCATGAGAGGAAAGTATTGTCACATCCTTAGTTTCACAGAATCCACATAAAATATGCAACAATGCAATGACTTAAGGGTTTGTAGCTTCTGTCTTGGTTGTCTGTTGACCACTGTGTAGCAGTGGTCAACAGACTCAATTTTATAATTAAGTCTGTCAAGCTAAGGGACAAAGGTCAACATCAGGATACTGCTTCAGCATCCTTAAAATGACTGGCGCGATGCCTGGAGTCCAGCAGCCTGGAGTCCAGCAGCCTGGAGTCCAGCAGCCTGGAGTCCAGCAGCCTGGAGTCCAGCAGCCTGGAGTCCAGCAGCCTCTCTCCTCCAGCAGCTGCTGGTTGAAAGCAAACGGCGGGAAGAGAGCTTAAGGAGTATTTATACAGGTGAGCAGATATAGACTGAACACGGCGGGCGGCTGAGATGTTGATGCTTACAGTGGAAGTGTAGCTTTACCGACGAACCACACAATAAATTTCATATCACCCAGACTCATCAAACGGATGGCAGAAAGCCTGTTTGCAGTGCATGTGAGGATCCCGTTCTGTCACACCATGTCTTCAGTCCTTCAGCATCAACACACTGTGAAGATCCAACTTACACAGGAACCAGAACCCATCTGTGGACGGTCTGATACTCCACTTGAACCAGCATTTCTGCAAAAGGGACACGATCCAAGCTTTGCCACCTTATAGATATTTTAAACCAGCCCATTATCACTTCCACTATCAATTTGAACAGGTTAACTCTGTCAGCTATATAAACTTACTCTGTAAGATTTTGTGTTTTTGCAGTGCAACATGTCAGAGTTAAGGATTTGAACGTCTATCGATCCCCTTTTATCGCCGTTCATATTCAAATCTGTTAAGCCAATGTAAACATCTGATGGACAAAGCCACAGACTTCCCTGCTCAGAATACCACCCAGTTTATCCCAACTGCAGGATCCGTGATGGATGAGGACTGTGTCAACATGGGCTTTGACATGAGGGATGAGGCTTGAGAGGAAACACGTTCAGGACTTCAATAGTATGTGATTTATGGCTCACTTTTTTAATATTTATATTTTGTGTGTGACAGTGCAAACATTTCCTCATTCCGGACTTGTGGAAGGAGGCCAGGTTTACCTTTGAGCTGTCATGAATGAGGCCTACACACAGACCACTAACACAGAGAGACAGGTTCACGCTCAGTTTGCCAGTAACATACCAGAGAGGCTGCATTGAGCCTGGCTAAAGCATCGCTGCAGACGAGGCATGTAGCTACAGGTAATAGATCTGAGGATATTACCTGGGTGTGACTGCACTGCACATCACACCTTGTCCTGTTCCACTTTTAGTAGCTATTAGTCAGTTGTAAACATTTATACTAAGTAGTTGAACTTTTGCAGCATCAGTTCATTCACTGTTTTCATATGTGCAATAATTTGCATATGTTTCATTTGGTTCAATCAATTTGTTCCCTCTTTTAATATAAATTCTGTTAGTTTTAACAGGGAAGACACATCTAAATAAATGTGCTACATTCCAGCCAATTTCTACTCAAGTCACATTCTAAGTAATTATTAAGATCATATTTGTTCTTCTGCTTATTTGCACAACCATGTTGTTAAAATGAAGCCCAGAGTGAACTGGTTGATGGTGCAGCAGGTATGAATGGTTTGTGAAATAGTAATGAACTTTCTAAATGTAAAGGGTTTTTCTGGCAGCCTCAGCTGCACATCTCTGGCAATCGCATATTCAGGACTAACAGCATAGTTAGCTACGTTCCTAATCAGACAAAGCTTAATACAATTTAAATTCTTGCTCCAAAAGAGAAATCTTTTCGACCACATATCTTCTTGTAGTTATTAGCTTTTACTAATAATTTTCACTCATAATATCACCCATATAAACATGTAAGCTTAGCATGCTGTGCTGGTCATTGCACACAATCACAGAGAATAACAGCTGTCTTCAATCAGCTGTCATCACACTTTGAATCAACATAAACAGGTTAGGCAGGATTTCTTATTAAAATGAAGCAGATAATGTTAATAATGTGAATGTTTACATGTATTGTCCAGATGATCTTTTCACAGTGTAGCAGGTTGTGTTTTGCTTAACCGTTGCTGAATTTTAGACAATTGAACACAATTGCTTTGTTTGCCCTGCGTTTTACGAGGGTCCCTCCCAAACTCGACAACATGCAGGGAGGCTGCAGGCTATAAGCTCCAGGATCGTTTGTCTACACACACACTGAGACCGGCGTGTAAAATCAAGCCTCAAGGCATTTTACACAACATGACTTCATGCTGCTGAAACACGTATTTGCCCACAGCATAATGAAGTCACAGATAAAACCCACTAGCTATGACTCAATATAATACCATGTCTGATTTGAGACATACTATGTATTATAATTTTCACTCGCAATGACTCACAATCTCATAATCTATTATTACTTGCAAAAATCTACTACTTGGACATGTTGTTCAGATTGGCTGTGAAAGTGCTGACAAATATTAGAAAATTGTCAACTTTTAATAAACACTGTAAAGGTACAATTAGGGTTTACACTGTCTTTACTTAGCTTGTTGTGTATGTGGGAAAAAAAATACAAATTTTTAGAGGTTTACCCATAAATTGTACCTGTTTTTCTGAATTTTGGATGGTACATGAAAAACTGACCTTCTATCCATTGATCTTATACCTGTGCAAAGGTCAGGCTGTTGGAACATGGATCACAGCCAAAAGAACAGGACTCCTGAAAGAAGCTTTACATACAACTCAGCTTTAGAAAAATGGAAAGGAACTGTTATCCAAGGGGAAACTGGAGTAGAGCTGTCCTCCCCTGTATTCTGTCTTTCCTTCTTCCTTTTTCTTTCTTTCTTTCTTTCTTTCTTTCTTTCTTTCTTTCTTTCTTTCTTTCTTTCTTTCTTTCTTTCTTTCTTTCTTTCTTTCTTTCTTTTTCTTTCTTTCTTTCTTTCTTTCTTTCTTTCTTTCTTTCTTTCTTTCTTTCTTTCTTTCTTTCTTTCTTCCTTTCTTTCTTTCTTTCTTTCTTTCTTTCCCCATAAATTGACCCTCACAATATGGCGATTAGGTTGACGTGTCAGCGCCCTTCAAATTTCTGCCACGCTTTTGCTACTGTGCTGCCATCGTCTGGTGAAGTGATGGTACTGCAAGAATGAAGTTTCTGCTTTGAAGCGCTGTTAGTTTTACTCTAATTCAAAAATACTCTTGTCCGTTTGTTTTTACATTCAGCACCAGTGTTGCCTCATATTATTAAAACAAAAGCAGTACATTTTTAAATATTTTATATTAGTCCTTATTCCCTTTTGACAGATATTGAATCTTCATCAAACTACCATCAATATGATTCAATTTCTCCAGCGGTGACACGTCACTAAATACAGTGTTAATATTTGCAACTCCCTTTGTTCCCCTGCCTGGGCCGTCTTCATTTTCTCCACAGTGATTAATGATTTGATTGGACTTACATCTGGAAAGACTTCACAGCATTTTGTTATTTTGTAACTAATAAAGTGATAAAATAATATTTCCAAATGCTGATTTGTTACAGCCTTTCTCCAAAATGGAACTTGTTCCCACTAAATTCTGCACACAATACGTGAAATGTAGTTAAAATAGAGCAAAGGTAAATTCCACACAGTATATGAACACTAAGCCTCATCTCCACTGGTCATGTTTCAGTTCATGTGTTTCAACAACTCCACTGTGGTAAACCCAGCTGTCTGGATGTGGTTTCAAGAGCCTCTCCTCTGCCTAGAGGCCCACAGTAACAATTTATGTCAAAGCCCAAATCAAGTGCATGAAGTTGCCCACAGATCTTTGAAATTATCCAGAGATATTTTTTCACCTCCACCTGCACATGTGCAGATGTGAGGATGGGGAACACATGCAGGGATTTAACATAAAAGCCACATGAATACATGAGATGAAGGAAGAGAGCTCAAAACAGAGACAAAACCAACAACTGAGACAAAACCAACAACTGAGCAACTCAGATTCAGCAACTTTTCTGCTTTAGTATCGCAGAAGTAAATCCCCATATTGTTGTATTAAAATATTAAAGAGTAAACTATTAATTTTTCCAGAGCCTGCCTCACCATGGGATGTTGGAGAATCCAGTTAACTGAAACACATTTAGTTGATACTGCTAATATTGATTGCATGATCTATTTTATAATTTGTGAAGCAATATAATATTCAAAAAATCTATTTAATTTTGGTTATGTCCAAAATTTATGCGAAAGTTGCATCTAACATTCAGGGAACCTTTGGGAAATGCTCCTTTACAATTAGAACCACACATCGGAGAACTTTGGGAAATATTGTCTCTATGGTTACTTTGCAGGTTCTGGTGTATAGTGGTTATTATTATTATGTCTAAATATAAACGAATTCTTCAGGACTAGATAGTAAAACAGATCTCCACTAAAGTTTAGAGGTGAATCTTGTTCGGCTAAACTCGGTAGCACTCGGGAATAATGGGCGTGTCTGAGTATCGTGCGTGTGGCACAATCGGATGATTCCGGTGGGCGGAGCCTCGCAGGAGGAAATGGTGCTGTTGGCTCATTGCTCTTTAGGAAACCGGCGACGACGAGCATCCGCAGCCCACCGGTCTGTCCACACGGTCCCCGTCCCTTCAGTCCGACCTCAAAGCTCCAGCTTGAACCGGGATCATTTTGCCAAACAAAGTCTGAAAACACATCCCCGGTTCGTCACAATCACGCAGCTCTTGCATGCTTCGCTTTGGACAGACATCTGTGAAGAACTCGGGAGTTTACGGTTTCAGAGAAGCTGCCGCAGGATGGAAACGCAGATACATGTGCCTGTCGGTTCGCCGGTTATCAGAAAAATTCCCGTGTTCGTAGACGAGCACAGCGTGAAAGAAGGGGCCATGAAGCTCATTAAAGAGTTGAGACCGGCGTGGGAGCCTGACAGCGTCAGAACCAAGGTAACATTAGCCGCCATGCTAGCCTGTGCTAGGCTAGGCTAAGATTGACAGCTCCGTGGCATCGCCGGGCTGAGGCAGGGGCAGGGCCGGGGAAACACGACCTCCTGGGCGGCTTGCATTTCTTTTACAGTGCGCTGACTGCTGGCGAGACGCTGTACTAATTTATTAATGATAGTGGATTGTATGTCTAATATGTTCGGATAGTCATGTTAGCAAAAAGATATGTCAGAATGCTATAATGAATGAACTCAGTGATTAGGCAGCTCTGTTATTAGTTGGTGCGCGTGCACCTGGCTGTATTCCTCAACGCGGTGGTTCTGGGTTTGGTTCTGGGTTTGGTTCTGGGTTCGGTTCTGGGTTTGGTTCTGGGTTCGGTTCTGGGTTTGGTTCTGGGTTTGGTTCTGGGTTCGGGTCTGGGTTTGGTTCTGGGTTCGGGTCTGGGTTTGGTTCTGGGTTCGGGTCTGGGTTCGGTTCTGGGTTCGATTCCCGGTCTTGGGACCATTTGCCGCATGTCTTCCCATTCACTTTTCTCTCTATTTCATGTCTTTTAATTGAACAATAACCACCACTACAGCCTAAAAAAAGAAACAAAAAACAAAATCCACAGCATATGGAAATCAATTTAACAATTGTAAAATTTAAAGACAGTTGGACAAAGAAGAATCTGAAAGGTGTGGCTTGCATTTGTATTCAGCTTGTCTCTGGAAGCCTGGCAAACAGACAGTTTCACCCATTCTAATATCTTTGAGGCTACTCATATACCTAACATAATGGTAGGTGAAGCACAGTGATGTTAAAAGTGATGTTAAAAGTTATCAAAGATCAGTCAATCAACAACTACTGCCATGACATTAAAACAATCATATATGGAGACCTGTTAGTGTCAGTCAGGGATCTCTGACCGGCAACAGGCCCGACTGCTTCACTCTCTAAAGTAAAATGTTGCTGTGCCTTCCCGTTTGGATTTCTCGCCACCCTTTGTTAAAATGTTTACTGTTAAAGGCTCCATTATTTGTTCAGAGGAAGACCAACTGAAGCATCAACTCAAGCAACTCAAGGCCACAGTTACGACATAGTTCAGTGAAAATGTTAGATAACGTAGAAGTATTGTGTGATTTGAGGCTCCTGTCAAAGCTATTGATCTTTGACCCTATGTCTTAAATGTTTGTGTCCTTCCCAAAGGTGGGATTTGCAAGCTGAGGATGCACAAACTTGATAAAAATTTTTGCTGAGTTTCTCTTGATTTGTAATCTTGATTTTTTAAAAAAAAAAAAAAAGTCTGCATCAGACGGCGATAATTGTGATCTGTCAGCACGACTAGTCAACACAAACACCTGTTGAGGTGAGATCAGATGGAGACTGGAGTCTGGCAGTGGGACAGGGGAAACTCACCTTCCTCCAAGTCAAAGCATGTTTTACACCAAATATGGTGATATTCCAACCACGGTGAGGTTTTAAAAAAAGGAAATAAATAGTCAGAACTTTCTGGGGGGGGTTCTCGTCATTTTGGTAACTCAACGTCTTGCACTATGAAGTTTCCATCTGTTTTAAAATCAGGATCACAGGTTGGTGTGTTTTTTCAGGCTGATGCCATTTTTTGTTCGTTTTTCTTTTTTTGAACAGCTCATTTTTTGTCTGATGTGAAGTTGGAGCATCTTCCTTCTTCTGCGCCGCTGGATATTTGGTTGTGAAGACATTTCAGGTGGTTCAGCTGCAAAATCTAACCTGAGATCTGCTGGCTAATAAAGAACATATTCAAACCAGGCATACCTGACTTCTTACTGTGAGAAGTTTGAGTTCCAATTTGTATAAAATTTGTGACCAAATTCTTTTTGTACTTTAAGATGATTTACTTCTATTGCATTTAGATGATATAACCAGAAAATCCTGGTTGAGTTCTGGTTGGAAGACAAATTCATATTAAAAAATACTTCATCATGTTTGCATCATAGTAGCTGATCCCTGCCTGAATCTGGTACCACACACACCGACCAGACACACACCGACCAGACACACACCGACCAGACACACACCGACCAGACACACACCGACCAGACACACACCGACCAGACACACACCGACCAGACACACACCGACCAGACACACACCGACCAGACACACACCGACCAGACACACACCGACCAGACACACACCGACCAGACACACACCTGCTGCTGAGGATGTAAACACCGTGTTGCATGCATTGCCTTCTCTTCCTTGCTTATCAGCCTGGTGTTAGACGTTGCACTGTGTGCTGGGTGGATGGGATCAGAGCTGTACTAGGACCTGTGTGTGTGTGTGTGTGTGTGTGTGTGTGTGTGTGTGTGTGTGTGTGTGTGTGTGTGTGTGTGTGTGTGTGTGTGTGTGTGTGTGTGTGTGTGTGTGTGTGTGTGTGTGTGCTGGTGAATGTTAACGGAGATGCCTGTGCGCCCGTCTTTGTGGCGAGACGCGTTTGGAATGTCAGATATGTGTGAGTGAGCGTCTGGGCAGAGACGGATGCAGGCGGTCTGTATGTTGGTATTGTCAATCAGACATTAGGTCTCTGTCTCTAGCTCTTTCTAAAGCTCCACCTTCAGGAAGTCATCACAACATGGCTGCTCTGTTAACACGTTTTAACAACCAGCGTTTCCCTGAGAAGCAACTCCTCTAATGAGCTCAACATATCTGCACTTCCACCAAGTTTTTGCTAATTGCTTCTGGCTAGTCTGAAGGATAACTACAAGTTATTCCTGCAGTTCACGTGGAGCTGCGCCACCAGAGCTATCGCGGTGGGGTTTAAACTCCTACCTTGATCAAAAACTCTGGATTCCCTCTATTTTGGACTTTGGTCTCTGGTTCTTCCTCTCTCCTGAAAGCAGCACAGCACACAGTCGCCAGCTTAGCAGGCAGACGGGCAGAAAATAAACCCAAAACGTCATTCTGAAGGTGTGGCGGCTTTTATTTTCCCTTGCCAGAGGAAACCCTGGGGTGCTGGAGTGTGGTGGACGGTTGACAGTTTGTTGTGGGTATGATCCAGAAGGCGGTGGTGTGATTCTAAATCCATTATTGACACACCATGCTGCTCCTCCTTTGTGTATGAGCCAAACATCTCTCACTTCATTGGGAAATAAAGGAGAACGTGTGCAGAGCTGCTGCTCCTCGGCTGCATTCTGCTGCAGCTCGTCGTATTTACACAGGTGTTTCTGTTTGGTGAACAGAACGCGCTCGCTCAGACGTTTCCATGGTAATGGCTGCCCATGTGTGAGATGTTACGGTGATTTCATCATTTCGTAGAGGCTGACCTTCCCTCTGACCAAGGCTTCTGCTGATCGAGGGTCCGGTTGCTCTAACTCATCCTGGTCTTCGTCTTTTGCAAAAACACCAAACCTCCAAAGAGCCAAAGTTCTGGCATCAGTCTGAGCTCCTTTGTAGAGAACTTTTCCAGGTTTCACCTGCTTGCTCTGGTTCACCGTGGCAGAAATAACCAGCTTTAGTTCTTTTTGTCTCTTTTCAGAAAAAGAGCTGAAGATGTTTGGTTCCTCAGCCTCCATATTCTGTGTGACTCTGGTTCAAGATGTTTTCCCCTTTCCTTCCAGACTCTGCAGCTCAGTTTCTCGGCTTTGTGTTTAGAAATTATACGCTTCCAAGTTCCAGTTCCACCTTTTACCTTTCTCAAAATGAGGTTGTCAATTGACATAATTGAGTTTTGACATTGTGTCAGTCAAATTAGATTCAGACATGCCAACATCTCTATTGGAGGTGGGCAATATGGCTGAAAAGTAAAACCTAGACCGAATTTTATTTTTCTTCTTTTTTTCTCACATTGTTTCTTAAAAGAAATGACAAATAACAGAAGAACTGTCTTTTATTTCAACAATCTGTTCAGGGATTTGACCTGAAAGTCCAAATAAATAGAAGACTGTCAAACTTAGAAACATCTTCAAAAATTGAAAAATCAGTCGATCACTAAAATTGATGAATGGACCTCAACTTTCGTAATTTTGCTTGAGTGGTGATCGGTTCATACATACAGGTGAAAAAATATTGATAACGACCAAGACCAGAATTCCAACAACCGGAATAAACAGTGAAGTTGGTGCACCTTTAGTACTGGGAGAAACTGGCTCATGTCGGTTTTCATGAGGTGTAGCAGGTTGGAGATGGGAATGTTTCAGGAAACATGCTTCATAGCGGGAATGCTAACTTCCTGTCTCTGTCTTCAAGTCCTTCACCGATGGGACCACCAACAAGCTGGTTGGTTGCTACGTGGACGACAGCCCCGACGACGTGGTCCTCGTCCGAGTGTACGGCAACAAGACGGAGCTGATCGTGGACAGAGACAACGAGCTCAAGAGCTTCCAGGTAGCATGTTGATGGGTTGACCTGCAGGCCCGTGGGTTTTGGTTCTCCTGTCTAAACCGTTCTCTGATCCAGGTGCTGCACGCTAACGGCTGCGCCCCGCGCCTCTACTGCACCTTCCAGAACGGAATCTGCTACGAGTTCATGCAGGGGGACGCTCTGGGGCCGCAGGACGTCCGGGACCCCACCCTGATCCGGTTAGGACCGCATCATCGACCAGTGGTTTTCTGGGTCTGAACTCATTTTGAGCCAACTCATTGGTTCTGCTCTGCTCTCAGGCTGATATCCAGGGAGATGGCTCGGATCCACGCCATCCATGCTCACAACGGCTGCATCCCCAAGCCCAACCTGTGGATCAAGATGAGGCAGTACTTCTCCCTGGTGGCCACAGAGTTCACCGATCAGGCCTCAAACATCAGGTAAGCTCTCTCTTTCCACGTTGTTGAACTTTCACTCTGATGACCATGCAAATGCTGCCTGAAGAGCTGCCTGGTTTGCCTGGAAAATAAGTGGGAGCAGCTGCAGTTTCCTGCTACGCTCTTGTCACCGGGGAGAGAAAGAGGCAGGTTGTCTGGTTTGCATCTTTAAATAATGGCCTAGCAAATACAATACTGGGCTTTGATGTAGCCGTATTAACAAAAACATTAAATTATTTTGCACAGTAAGTCCCCTTTATTTTCTTATCTGTGTAATTCTTGCAAACCCAACATAAACTCCTGATTCTAAATGTTTTTTGCAAACAAAAAGACAGAAATCCTTGTGGAATTTTAAATTGACCAGAATATTTGGTCCATAGAGGAGAATTATCTGTTAGTAGGTTGAGGTTCCAGCACAGCCGCTTATAGTTTCTGCCAGAGATGTTAAAATGAAGTGTAAATATATCTAAAATATCGAACCCAAAAACACAATAGCATCTCTAGCTCTTCCCTTCTTCATTTCTTCTATGGTTTTAGCCAAACACAAACTTTTATATCGGGAATTTTGGCAGTGAAAGTTGAAGTCAGTTATCCCAGAGTTACTTAGTGAATATTTAACATGCCAGTTAATATGATCATGAACTCAGACTGGAGGGAAAAAAGCAGCTTTTTGAGGTCCATGTCACAACATTGCATCACCTCATCATTCATCCTGAATTTCAGTTCAGTTTCTACTCGAACAGGTTGAATAACATTTACATAAGTTCACTGATAGCTTATCTAAATGTGTGATTATAAGTCATCCATTCATCCATGTTGGAAAGCAGTCATCAGCAGCTGACTCACAGATTAGACTCTATTGATTCTGAGCCTTTTAAAAGTATTCAACCTTGGTTGAACTTTTCCACACTTTCACATTACGACTGCAACGTTTGGTGTGTTCTGCTGAAACACACTGACAGAGTCCTGCTTGACCATGAATGGACAGGAAACTGATGCATGGTTCTCAGCTTCTCCCCCTCTAAACTATTTGTTGTGGGAATTATTTTTCTTGTTCCTTTCAACAGTAGTCGGATCAGGAGTGCTGGGTTTGTAATGGGACGTTCTTCAATGTCATCATTTCATGATTATAAATTTCAGCATAACTGACCTGCTTACTCACCCTTACAGTTCAGACTGTCTTGAAAAAGTTGTGTATAGACAAAAAATCTTTTCTGGTTAATCTGGCTGCTGTGTGAGCGCAGCCTGATTACACACAGGTAGATTTCAGGAGAGTCCGAGGGGCGTCATCACCTCAGCCTGTATTCTCCACCAGTTAGCTGAACACATGTGGCACACAGAGGTATAAAACCAGGCTGTGTCTTATGTAACCGCTGACTGCATCAGTCTCACGGAGACAGATGTTTGCTGAGCTCCATGCACAGAGCAGCTCACTTTACTTCCTCCTTTCTTCCCACTGAGTTTCCCACAGATGCTTTCCTCACTATCCTGTGGTCAGATTACTGTAGATCCACCTTAAAATGTGGGATGAACTGAAATCCAGTCAGTGAGGAGAAGCAGAGGGTGTGAAATCCAGCCTCACCTCGTCCCGTCAGACTGACCCGGCCGGGATTAGACTCCATAAGCCCATTAGACTCAGTGTAGGGGTCTCTGCTCAGCATCCTGGACCTGGTCAGCTGAGGCTCTCACAGAGGCTTAAACCTGCAGCTCGGTTGAAGAGGTGTTCTGGAGCCAGATCACTATATATATATATATATATATATATATATATATATATATATATATATATATATATATATATATATATATATATATATATATATATAAAAAATATGACTTAATAGAAATTTGACTTTGTAATTTAAGTGCTTGAAATTAGTCCTCCGTCTCTTTAAAATCCTCTTACTCTTTGTGAAGCTCCACCTTCAGGACCAACATGGCTCCTCTGACACTTTAACAGCATTTTTACAAGTGTTTCACAAAGAAGCTTCTATAAGCTGATGCACAATTCTACCAGCTGTTTGGCTAGTCTGAAGGAGTAGCAGCAGTTCTCCCCCCACCACCGCCAGCTCACCGCCTGGCGCTCTGAGCTTTGCTCTGTTGTTGTTTCCAGCTCATGGATTTCAAAACAAGAAGTCGCACTTTATTTTGGTTAATAACAGCAAGCGTAACTGCCACTTCCTGTTTACCTTGGCGTTGGGTTTTCTGACACTCGTGGTTGTCGTCACAGCAACCTAACAGCACTGAGGGGGTGGAAAAAAGAAGTGATCTTTTCCCTACTTCCTCTCTCTCCCTGCCTAGAATCCAGCAGGAGGTTCCGAGCAAGGCGGTGCTGGAGCAGGAGATGGTGTGGATGAAGGAACATCTGTCCACGCTGGGCTCCCCTGTGGTGCTCTGCCACAACGACCTGCTCTGCAAGAACATCATCCACAACAGCAAGGAGGGTAGGTGGCCTCCGCTGGCCTGACAATCTGAGTCGAATGGAGAAAGCCCAGCCTGAGATGGAAGATGGAACTTTTTTTGAGGGAAATTGCACAGAAAGTGAACATCTGGGCTAGCTCTACTGGAAAACAGCTGAGTTACAATTAAAAACTGATATGGTCAGCATAGAGCAGTACTTTGTGTTGAGGGTGACCTCTCTGCAGGTTCTAAAAGCTTCTGAGGGATGATGTCTTGAAACAACAGCGCAGCACAAAACTGAAGACCATAAAGTAATGACTGCTTGTGTTTCAGGTCACGTTCGCTTCATAGACTACGAATACTCCAGTTACAACTACCAGGCCTTCGACATCGGCAACCACTTCAACGAATTTGCAGGTTGGTGATCAACTTCACGGTTTGAAAGCAGGAGGTGATTTTATTTGGGTCATATCTCTGGTACATCCTCTTCCTGTGGTGATCAGGCATGGCTGAGCTGGACTACGGTCTCTACCCGAGTCCTCAGATGCAGATGGACTGGCTGAAGCAGTACCTGCAGGCCTACAAGCTGTTCACTAAGAACACCGACCAGGTCAGCCAGCGGGAGCTGGAGACGCTCTATGTTCAGGTCAACAAGTTTGCTCTGGTGAGGAGGAACGGCCTAGTTCATGTTCAGATCAACACAGCCCGGCTGTGGAACCGCTGCTGATGTCTCACGTTTCTCCCTGAAGGCTTCCCACTTCTTCTGGGGATTCTGGGCTCTCATCCAAGCCAAATACTCCACCATCGACTTTGACTTCCTCGGGTAGGTTCCTGTTCCTGTTCCTGTTCCTGTTCCTGTTCTTGTTCCTGTTCCTGTTCCTGTTCCTGTTCCTGTTCTTGTTCCTGTTCCTGTTCCTGTTCTTGTTCTTGTTCCTGTTCCTGTTCTTGTTCTTGTTCCTGTTCCTGTTCTTGTTCCTGTTCCTGTTCCTGTTCCTGTTCCTGTTCTTGTTCCTGTTCCTGTTCCTGTTCTTGTTCTTGTTCCTGTTCCTGTTCTTGTTCTTGTTCCTGTTCCTGTTCCTGTTCCTGTTCCTGCTCTGTTCCTGTTCCTGTTCCTGTTCCTGTTCTTGTTCCTGTTCCTGTTCTTGTTCCTGTTCCTGCTCTTGTTCCTGTTTCTGTTCCTGTTCCTGTTCCTGTTCCTGTTTCTGTTCCTGTTTCTGTTCCTGTTTCTGTTCCTGTTCCTGTTCCTGCTCTTGTTCTTGTATGTGAGATATTTCGCATGATAAATTCAAATAAGTGTGATCATTTGATAAGACATATAGAATGTTTGCACTACCTGACACTTTTTCCTGTTTTCTCTCAGAGAATGTTGTTTTTTAAAATATACTTTGTTAGAGACTTCCTAATCCATTATAAATATGTTTTATTTTGGATATTTACATTTTTTCTGGTTCCATGGATAAATATTCTTTAGAAGTTAAGGGTGTTTTTTTTGTCTCCTGCATTATGTTTTATGATTAGACCAGTAAAAAAATGATCTCAGAATAACAATATTATTGTTTATTGCAGTCATTTCTGGGATTGTTTATTTCTGCTGCTGTCAGTCACTTCCTGTTGTCTTTGGCAGGTACGCTGTTCTTCGTTTCAACCAGTACTTCCACATCAAACCCACAGTGATGGCGCTGCAGATCCCAGAGTGAGAGGAGGTCCAAAGTTGGGTCGGGTCGGTTCTGTCAACCTGCTGCTAGTGGGCGGAGCCTCTCACAGCGCCAGGCAGCTTTCGTCTTAATCAAGCCCAATTACTCTCCTGCAAACTTACCTCAGCATCCGTCACCAGTTTGACTGCAGAATGACTGAAGCTCCATGCCATTGATTGATTTCTTCATGTTGGGGTCAGAGGTGATGACCTCTGAGCCAGACTGAGGCTCGCATCGCAGCGTTCCCCCTGTCCGGATCATTCCTCCTCCTGCTCCTGCTCCTCCTCCTCAGGTTTGGTGCCAGCAGCTCCCGGGCCTCGGCTCGACCCACATGTCAATCTGTTTGTCTGGATCACTCGGTGAGGAAGAGGAGCTGGACGTTTAGTCTCTTCATTCTCAGTTATTCTTCAGCTTCTTGGCTTTTATGGCTGCAGCGACTCGCTCTGTTGGCTTTCCATTTCAGCTTTCCAGACATGTTGGAAAATCCCGACCTTTGACCCCCAGCCCCTCTGTGTCTGCTCTCTCTCTCTCCTCATGTTTCAGCCCTCTGCTTCCTTCAGCCTCTCACTCCCTCCTGCTTCCTACATCTGGAGCCATACTGGATTTTACTGTAACACGTTGGACACTGAGTCGTTCAAGGTCACTGTCAGTTCTGACAAAATGAATCTTTAAACCTGATTTTAGAAATGCAAGTTAATCATAACTATCAATATTTCAGGGTGCACTGATTGCAGTTTTTTGGCTGGTCACCAATATTCCAGTTTTGTCCTGTGTCACTTTCTTTTCTCTGAAAAGTGGCTGAATGTCTCTCCAGATGTTACCAACAGTGGCTGAGTGTTATTAAGCGACATGATTCATAGAACCTGTTTATAGAAATGCATCTTAACGATGTCTATAGAAACATGTCGGGGCACAGATTGCACTTTTTGACCAGTCAGCGATTTCTGTTCTTTCTCTTTCAAGCTGATTTTGGCAGACATCAATTTTTATTTATTTATTTATTTATTGTTCTTGGCCTGAAGAGTTGCTATTTGGAGCATCAAAGGTTGCCAACTGTGGTTATTGCTACCATCAAAGTCCAGCTTCAGGTACAACCGTCCATGTCCAGCCGTGACCCGGTGAGCCGGTCAGTCACTCAGGTCACCAGGTCATGCAGAGCAAAGTGGGACAGGCTGATGTCCAGACCTTTGCAGATGCCCATAAGCAAAAACGTGGGAAATCTGAGCCAATTCCTCAGTGCATCCCTATAAAAATGAATACAAAAACCAAAATAAAAAGTCTGTGAAGAACGTGTAAAAAAGTCTCTCCTGTTGGTTGACGTGTTCAGAGCCTGAAGATGGAAGGATATTCAGTCAAATTGTCTGGCTGTGGGATTGGATGCGTCTCTGTACAACTCATCCTCAAAACACTCCATGCTGGTTTATCTAAAAACAAACGCAGAAGGTGCCTAAATGAGGATCATCTTGTCATAATTTACTTTCTCTTACTTGAAACTACCAGAAGACTCCATTTCAGACCACAAACAGAATCATAATAACATTGACTTCATAAAACTGGCTCAGCCTTTCTCTCTGTTCTGTCTTGTCATTTTGAGCCACTTCTTCACATTCCAACGTGACTGTATGACGTCTGTGTGTAGTTCAGTACAGCCCCCACAGGGGGAGCCGCTGAGCGCGACCTTTGTCCTTCATTGCTGGTGTCGCGCAGCGGCAGGGTTGAATAATTGAGCAGACGCTCTGATGAGCTGCAGGGAGAAAGTGGAGGAGCCGTCCGTCTCTAAAGCCAAACCCTGTCGCCTCTGACGGCGAATCCTCCTTAGAAGCTGCTGTGATCACCAGGCCACAGAGCAGCTCGCGTACATTTTCAGACTGAATTAGTGAAGCAAGCACTTCCATGCACAAACACAGCTCGGCCTGCGGGGAAGGCGCATTTGCACTGTAGAAACGCTCCGAATTGACCTCTGACCTCGAGCCGACCTCACCTGCTAACAGGCAGGTGAGGTCAGAGGAAACGCTGCAGACGGATTCTGCCCAGAGCCGAGGCTCTGTGTTTGGACCACTGAGGTTTCTCTTTTGTCATCAGTTTTTCCAGATGAACTGGTTGCAGAGCAGAATTAGCATTAAAACATTCCTGCACATTAATTTCCCACAAACCTGTGAAAGCAGTTTATTTATGGAGTTAAGCTGGTGTTAAATTTCCCACCTTTTCATCGTGTTCTTTAATTACATCAGTGGCAGTCTAGCTTTAAACTGCAATTTATTTAAGGTTGCATTATTTCCGAGTGAATGTACTAATGTATTTTAAAAGACACTGCTGAGTTTATTTTTTATTTTAATTTCCTTTTTGTAAAGCATTGAGCAGACGCGTGGGGCTGTGTGTGGAAGGAGCCAGTTTGGCTTGCAGACGGGAATTTGTAAATGTGTGGCTAACGGAGGATGTAAATACTGTAATAAATCTTGTGAAAAGTTTACTGTACAGTGATCGTTCATAGCCTGTAGGAGTGAAAAGAATTATTTAAATGACTGTCAGGAAATATTTCAATTAAAGACTAAATTGATTTTAAAAGGATTCTCCTGTGTGTTATGCCTCATTGTGTGTGTGTGTGTGTGTGTGTGTGTGTGTGTGTGTGTGGGCCTGTGGTCAGCTTCCTTTCGTTCGCTTTCCTTTTGTTGCCAAATCCTCTTCCCCTCTGCATCCCGAAACAAAAGGCAACAAGATGAAAGTGAACATCAAGTATTGGACCAATAACGGAAGTTAAAAAAAATTGACAAACATTGCCTACACGAGGATGCAGACATGCTGCAGGTCAGTAGATTCTGCTACAATCAAACAAGGCAGAATTAACTGGACAGTTCCTGATAAACAGTTTCTGTTGGTCTAAGATCAAACTGGTACCTGCAAAAATGTCCCAGGGTCAGGATTTGAATTTAAACAATAACGTTAAAAATTTTACACTATCATTGAGCTTTTACATCATGTCATAATATTCCTGCATCTAAAACACATCTGGAGTGTTGCCTTCATTATTTCATCCATGTTTGAGAAAGCCAGGCAATTAGCAAGAAGTTGAACTTATTAAAAACATCAAACATGATTAAAACGACCAGTTTATTGTCTTTCAAAAACTCTGAAAACATATGGAAATGTACACCTTTAAATTACACAAGCTCTTATAAACAAAATAAAGTTTTTCTATATTTACATCAGCAGGGTAATGACAGGTGATTCTAGTATGTAATAAAATAACTCATTTCTGATCTCTGTACACAAAAGAACCAGCATGTTTGTGATGAACCTTCAGGGCCAGTTTAGGCCTCAGACACTTTCTTGTTGAACAGCAAACAACTTCTTTATTGAAATAATCTAAATACCACAGAGCCAGGATATGAGAAGAACAAAGGCACCACAGTTATAAAGTCATAACTTTTTTTTTTTTTTTAAACAAAATAAAACATTAAATACCAGGTTTTCTTCTGTGTTGATTTTAATGCAACCAGTGAAACTCAATAAGCTGGTTTTCTTTACCTAATCTTTAAAAAAATAAAATAAATAAATCAAATAAAAGTAAAACTTCTTTTCAAAAGTTAACATTTCTCTGCTGGAACCAGAATTGAGAAAACTGAGTCAATAATTTCAATGTAATAAAAGGTAAATCATTTCAGGAACCGACAGTTTGTTAACTGGACCGATGCTAAAGTTTAATGCTATCAATCAAAGTTAGCTCAGAAAATCTCACAACTTTGTGGAGGGAGCTGAAGCCAAAAGGCCTGTTCAACTCAGTGAATGTGGAGAATGCTAAAACATTAGCACTGCTTTCAGTAAGAAGAAACATCCATTACTTTACACTGAAATAGATATAAATAATGATATTATCACTGCTTATCAAAAAACTATAAATCTCAAGGAAGGAACATAATTGAACTAACTTCTTGAGGTTTTGTGTTAAACTCCAGTGTTTTCCCATTGAAATCTTATAGGACTTAAAACTGATGCAATCCTGAAGCTAAAAGTTTTGATAAAATCCTTATATATAATAAAAACACAACTTAATATGACAGCAAGATAAGGAAGGAGGACTGACTGTCTGTGGTGCCAGTGAACTAATCATGACCAGCGTCTCTAAAGAAGTGGAAAGTGCTAATGTATTATAATGTGTCCGCCGTCAGATGGACGCAGGTTTATTTACGTTTTCATACGCAACATAAAGGTTACGTTCGAAATCGCTCATTTTTTTAATATCTGGCTCTCCAAGGAAACCAACCGCATCCATTTTTTCAGTGCTCCACTGTTGTCCTAACTAATATTTTCTATCACAAAGCAAATCATGAATATTACACCTCTGCAGTTCCCAGTTACAGTGATTTCAGACAGGCAGTTCAATTCACGGGATGGTTTTTCTTGCTGCTGGATGATCTGAATGAGAACATGGCAAACGAAGGAACTTCAGCATCGCTTCACCAAGAAGGAAACAAAACAAAACAAAAAACATGGATTTAAATGCACAGATTAAACACAACAATCAAGGAACACTTAAAAAGCAAAAAACAAATATATGCAACAGGTCAGGGGTCAACCCTCTGAGGCGGAGAGGGAACTGAAGCAAACACATTGAGAACAGAGGATATGTGGAGGAAGAGGAGGAGGAAGAGGATGTGACTGGGGTCATTACGGGGTCATGATTGATTCACTTCCTCAGTTCAAATCAGAACTTAACACATTTCTTTACAACTGCTTTCATATCTTCTGCACTTCCTGTTCAAGTGATTTTATTTCTGCGTCTTTTAATAGATTTTATGCATTTTGAACAGAGGCAAGGAGCCAAAGAATAATAAAATGTGTTTTTAATTTTTTTTAATGATTGTTATTATAAATACTAGGAAGAGCTGGAACATAAATAAAGTGTCCTCCTTAAGAAAATCTGTTAAAAGGACAAATTAATGCCAAAACTCATGAGTCAGATGATCAAATTACTTTTGCAATTTTGAAGAATTTCAGATAAAAAGAAAAAAAAATAAATAAATAAAAATCCAAACTTTGATTTGTCCACCAGATTTTTCGCTTCCGTCTCCTGGTTGACATTATGATGCCTTACAATGTGGGTTAGAAAATTCTCTCGTTGTGTTTGACAGGACACCAACAGACAAACGTGCTCAAATTAAATGTTGGAGTTTTGGGACGATAGGCTAATAGATTATTTGAAGGTTTTCCAGATGTGCCAACAACTGCATCAACATCTGGAGACAAAAACCCCCCAAAAAACACAACACAACAAAGCAGCCCACTCTAAAAACAGACATGATGATGTGAAGCACCCTGCTGTCATCAGGCTTTTCTTTGGTCAGAGGTTTCAGGTTGGGTGTGAACCGTCCAGCGCTGCCTTTCTGCTGCCTTTTGTAACAACCAGCTTCCACCACCAGGGGGCGGTGCAGCCCCAGTCCAGCCTCCCGGCTGCCTGACAGGTGAAAAGCAGCTAATCTAAGTTGAACAGTTCCTTTGGAGCTTCCTGCAGCGATTCTAATCCCTGGGAGGCGTATTGTTTGATAAAAGGCAACATGGAAGAAAAACAAGAAGCAGAAGGGATTAAATGATAACTTTCTACATTCTAACAACAGTTTAAAAAAAGAAAAGAAAAAAAGCAGGTGATGACTCATCTGGGAAGGGAACTGATGAGGACTTGTGTGAGGGAACTGGGGAGTTTATATTAATGTACAAGCAGAGTACACACGTGTGTGTGTGTGTGTGTGTGTGTGTGTGTGTGTGTGTGTGTGTATTGTGTATTGTCTCAGTCGTCCAGGATTTGGATTCTGATTGCCTCAAAACCAAGAGCGACATCTGAAGCTGAAGTTCTGTTCATCTTCCTCTCCGTCTCTTCGCTCCGGGCCGAGAGGCCCCCCAGAGACCCACCGGGCCCGACCTGATCAGTCTGTGAGCAGCACCAGTTCCCCCTCACTCCTCTCCCCCACGTCGCTTTCTTCTCCTTCGCTGTAGGGCAGTCGCTCTCTCTCTCTCTCCCTGTCCCTGTCCCTGGGCAGTGGGGTGGGTGTGGCCCGGTCCTCAGACCTGTGTGCAGGGGGCGGGGCCTGCGGCAGGTAATGCTCCAGCAGTGCCGGGTGAAACGGCAAGCCTGGGACGGAGATGGAGCCGCCGGCTGGGTACTGGTCGCTCTGGGAGTACTGGATCTGCTGCGGATCTGATTGGCTGGAAGGCAGGATGAGTCACCGTCAGGGCGTGGCATCAGACACGACGCAACACGATACATAAACAATGAGTCTTAATCATTTTATTCACTATTAAAATACTAATCTATGTGCTAAACTCGAATGAAACAGCTGGAGTGGAAAGCTCTGCTGAAAGAAAATGTTTCAACTGGGGAAAACAACAACTTTACGTCACCCTGAACGCACCATCTCTGTTTGCTGGACGATAAATCGTCCCAGAACTTATTGCGATAATAATATTGTTTTGAGACCACTTTCAAATAACCTAATGGTAATAGCATAATAACAATGCAAAAACACATCATCAAAGACCAATAAACTTTAAATTCTAACAAACATTGAAAATTGGAACTGGACGACATTTTAAATTTACAAAATAAAAATAACAAATCAATCAATTATAAAGTCTCTAAAACAAAATTGCTCTTTGATAAAAGTTCTAGTTGAGACCAAAGAACCAGGTGGAAGAATTTTATCACCCAGTCATAAAATTAGAAATCCTGGAGCTCATTGTATTTTATTGGATTGATTTATTGTTTATTGCAATGAGCCTAGTGGTGGCAGCATCATGCTGTTGGGACGTTAACTGGAGTCAGAAGCTGGGACAGACGCATGAAGATACTTCACTAGTTTGATTACCTTGTTTTAAATGTTTAACGTCTTTTTTGTCCGAGTGATTTAAAAAAATTATACAGTTTGAAAATGAAAAACAAACAAGCACAGTCAGCACTCATAACAGTTCCTGAGGGTCACATACAGTATGTTTTCCAGCTATTATATTGTTAAATAATAGTTGGATAAGAAAGTTAGCCGGTTTAGATCAAAGCATTTGATCTAAACTCGCTTTGAAACTCTCTCTCAAAGCGAGTGTGAAGCGTGTCGGTTGCTTCTCTACCTGTGTGTGTAGGTGGCCCTCTGCTCCTGCCTGCGGCTCTTCATCATGGCTTTGTACTCGCCCACCCTCAGCCTTCGGCCCTCCACGATGCAGGTCCGTTTGGGTCGGGGCTTGTACTTGTAGTCGGGGTAACGCTCCAGGTGCTGCCGGCTCAGCCTGGCCTGCTCCTCATAGTACGGCTGCTTCTCCTGGTTGGACATGGACTTCCACCTGGAGCCTGGAGACAAACGGACTTCATCATCAAGGACGTTTAAAAACGTCTAGTTTTGGTCAAACTACAACTTTATCAACTTTTTCTTTTAAGTTTTTTTCCCCTCTTTTTCATACAACTTGACATTTTATTTAAGTCAGTAGAAAAGAGGAAAGGATACACACTTTTTAAATAAATTAAAAAAACAAAAAACATTTCCATTTATCTGGAAATATTCAAAGCGTATGAATACATTAGCAGCTTCAAACGCTGGGGCTGAAGAGCATTATGGGAAACAAGTTCAAGTCGAAGAACGAGAATTCTTTCAGTTGTTATTGCCAAGCACAGAATTTCTCTGCATGCATGAAAAACCTGACAGCCGAGCTGAACTGGAATGGAAACACTAGCAGCCGTTTCTGAGTGACGCTGAACCAAATTTCCACTGCAGCCATTCAGCCAACATCTTTTTCAGTATGTCAAACCAAAAACAGTTATTTAGTAAGATGTACTAAATGCAAAGACAATAAAAGTGCAACATGGAAAAAACTGCAACAGCAATTATGCTAATGACTAGCCTTCATGCAGTTAGCGAGGGATAGTTAAGAAGCTAGCAAGCAGGCTACTGTGTTAACAGAAGAGTCAAAGCTAGCCTTGTTAGCCTCATTTTGGATTTTTCTTCATATTTAAACAGTAACTTCCTGCTAAAGAAGAACAGATGAGAGCATCAACTAACAGACAAGAGGTGAGCTAGCTAGAAATGTGTGGTGCCTCGATGAGGCTTTATTTCTGATCTTAGCACCAGATTTGATTTTATATTACCCGACTTGCTGGATGTTGACATCATCTTTCCAAAAATCAACAGTTGCAGCAGATTTTATTAACCTGACTTTCTGGATATTTTTTACACCAACAGAACAGAGTCAGATGCAGAAGCCCACCGCCACCAGCCACTGGGAGGACCCACCTAGGATCTTGCTGATGGAGGAGTTGTGCATGTCTGGGAAAGCCTGGAGGATCCTCCTGCGCTCGTCCTTGGCCCACACCATGAAGGCGTTCATGGGTCTCTTTATGTGGCCGGTAGAGGATGCGGGCCGCGTTTCAGAGTAGCTGCCGGGAACGGAGACGGGCAATGCCCCTATAGCAAGACACAGACGGGTAAGGCTTGAAATGTCTCCCCCCCATTAGTTACTTATCAAGTGTGTTTACTTTTCAAACCACTGCACTTCTGATTTCAACTGTGGGTCAATTCACAGGACTGTAATCAAGTTTTATATCTTTGTACATTTGGAGGCCGTGTCAGACACTGTTCAAAATGTGGTGCAACATGTGCAAAGATGGAAAACTAAAAGTCCACAGAGGACGGCTGGTGTTAATTGTTAGAGAGGACCAGATTAAAATGGAAAGCTTGATGCCACGTCACCCAAACTTACAAGTTTATTATGGATGGGGAAAAAAATGTTGATCAAGTTTATGCGAAGTCAGTGTGTAGCACTCTACTTCCATTCGTTACTAAGAGGGGACGACATCTTGAAACTCTGCTGTCCTACTCTGACACGCTTCAATTAAAACACAGTGTTAGCAGTTGAAATATTCCAGTGCTAAAGTGGCGTTCTGGTGAAAAGTCTTTATTCTGAGTAAAGAGCAGCAGCAGCCGCATCGTGGGAACACCTACCCTCAGAGTCACTGCTGAGGTGCTCCTCGCCGTGCCTCTCTTCACCGCGCTCACAGTGACTTATTTTTTCTGCACGAGGAGAACCTTTATATTCCTGCAGACAAAAAGTAAAAAACAAAAAGCAGCAGATGAAGTCATCCACGGTGTAACCTCACTGGTAAATCAGCATTTGAATTTGGACTGTGGTAAAACAATCAGCCAGTGTTGAAGAGTGGCGCAAAGTTCTATTTAAGGTAAGAGTCACGGCGCCGGCCAATCAGAGGCTGCTCAGAGTGTAGCGCTGCATGTGCAAAGATGGAAAACTGAAAGTCCACACAGGATGGCTGGTGTTGATTGTTAAAGGCCGAGATTAAAATGAAAAAAAAAAAGTGTTTTGTTTTGCAAAACTGCTGTTTTATCTGTCACCTATTCTGCTGCTGCAAACTGTCAACAGAGGAGAGGAGTGGAATACCAAAATAGGTCAGTCAACAGTTTGGGTGCTAACGCAGCAGCGCAGGAGAGATGGAGCAGGATAATAAAGGAGAGGACGAAGAGGAGGAGGAGAGCTAAGTACAGTATTAGTGAGGACAAAGAGGGAGGGCAGGTGGCTCTGTCAATGCCACACTGAGGCCTTTGTGGTATTGTGAGGCAGCAACAGCTGTTGCTCAGGACAAGGCTGAGAGCTGAAGCTTCAGTCACCTCAAAGAATGAAGGCTGGGATGGGAGGCCGTCGTCACGAGGCCCAATTCCTAAAATACTGGACTGTTCCTCAACGACAACATAAAAGACACAATTCAATTTTGAAACCATTTCCTTGAACTTAAAACGCAGATGAGTGTGAAAAACAAGCACGGACGATTACCCTAACGCTGTGTGCTGAACTGTAACAACGTGCCTCGGCGTGTGTGGCTGCACCACAGCTGGGATATTTGTCCATCAGTTTAGTGCTGCAGAGAAGCATGACTCCCTGTAATCCAAAACCACACTGACCTCTAAATTACATCCTACATGTCAGATGGAGACTGACTTGGGACTGCTTTCCCATTCCCTTAAGGAGTTTAATCAGCTAGAGGCTATTTGGAGTCCACGGTCTCATTTAATACCCCATTTGTTTCCATATGTCAACAGCGCCACCACATTGTTCCTATTTGCCACCTATATTGGCTGATTTTATACGTGTCTGAACACGAAGACATGGAGCGCTTGTTTTGTTTTGCTTAACTCAAAGTCCTGCAGCTATGAAATATTCCTATCAGATACGGTGATCCTCTCTACAGAGTGAGAGTACTGGAGATAAGAGGGTGAAATGCAAATCCTAATACTATCTAGGACTATGAGTGTCACCAAATGGTCAGATCACCATTGGTTCAACTAGAACAAAGGCCCACTGGCCTGCTGTTGGAGCCACTTCAAGCATTAAGCAACGCAAGGAGAGTTGAATCTTCATCAGTGCAGACAGAGCTTCTGCAAGGGTGCAATGACATTTAGTAATGTTACATTTATGCTAATAACTGTCTTTCGTGCAGTTAGCTAGGTATATTTAATAAGCTAGCAGGTTAGCACCCAGTCATTTAGCCTCATTTTGTACTTTCTTCATTTTCAAATGACATCATTCTATTAAAAAACAGATCAAACTAAACTCTAATGAAAAGACAAGAGGTGAGCTAGCTAGAAATGTGTGTCAGCTTTTGAGTTAATCTGACTTTGTGGACATAGATGACATCATTTTTTAAACAAAATCACAGGTAGAACAGATTTTAAATGGATCAGATTTCAGCAGTTATATTATTTTTCTATTGTCTTAGGCAAAATACACAAACCATCTCTCCTGAGAGCGTTAGACACAACTTTGTTTTGGTTGTTTTTACCCAGAATACCCTGCGCTTTAGTGCACTTCCTGCTGTTGGAGCGGACTCCCAATTCGCTTGGCGTTCGTAGCACACCTGAGTTCACTTCAACCAAACCAGAGCCCAGGTTTTTCAGGAGGACCAGAGCTTACTTTTTTTGCTCCTCAGAGTTCAGTTGTGCATTCACACCTCCCCAAACAAACCGGACTTTCTACAAACAGGAGTTGGACTGAATTGGATCATTGCCACACTGAAAGAAGCTATGCTACAGCTACAGTATTGATCCAAACAACAATCAGGCTTTACAGCCGGCAAAACGCTGTAAAAGGTCACGCAACACCACAGCTCATTACTCTAAAGGTTTGTTTTTGGCCATGAGAATGTGTTATACTTTCATGGATTATAACATGCTGTAGGTCATCTCTGTAATTTTGGCCACAATGATTAGAAAACACTATATAGCTGTTTTGTTTTGACAAACTAATTCCTTTCAGTTACACATCTCACAGTGATGTAGTTCTAGCTGCATTCTAATAAATGTTTTCTATATATCTCTACTGAGTAAACAAATATTGAAGCAATAAAATAACCAGGAGATTACAGGAAAAGGTTCATCCCCTTGTGACCTTTTGCTCTCATCTGACTTCGTGCTGCTCCTGATCCACTTAACCATGACGGTGACGCTACGCTCCGACTGTATGATGTAGCGCTGATGTAGCTTTTATGGTCACAGATTATTCCATAACCAAGATGAGACCGGCAGGAGGTCAGCATCAGGTCAGGTCAGGATGAACTCTCTGCCGTTTGGGTCTGAGAGGAAGACTGAGGAGATCACAGTAATCGCACCCTAATGTAGGTTATGTTTTTAATTGTTAGGGCTTCCAGTCAGGTTGGTAAATATCACAAAGTTACTGTTATACACGGTACTAACTTTGGTGAATATTCATGACTCAGCATAACCAGATAAAAACTAGATGCGTCTACCAAAGAGCCAGTCTGTTCAACAAGCATGTAGACACAACAACTCACCATTTTTCCGGAACCGTCTCTCTCTCTGTCTCTGTCTCTCCCGCCGCTGCTGTGACTCCTCAAGAGCTGCTGGGCATCATGGATGGCCTGGGTGACCACGTCGCCGTCTCCTAGGAAACCTGACGACAAAGGCAGAGCAGACGGACGAAACACTTGAAAAGGAGCGACAAGGTGAAAGAAATAAAAACAGGGTAAAAATAAAAAGGATTGTAGCCACAACTTTAAACTACACACATGTATTACTGTAAGAATTCAATAATTCAAAGAACCAAACTTTCTTTTTATTTACTTAACTTCAAAATTCACCAACAGAGATGACAATGAGAACAAAGCGGATGGTCTTTAAAGGGATAGTGGAACATTTCTGATGTAGGGTTCTGTATAGAAGGCATCTAATGCTAATACCTATAGTCATCTTAACAGCATTAGTCTCACAAATTTCCAATACTTTTCCAAAAGTGTTCCCATGGATTGCTGTGAAACCTTCTGGACTGGAGATCAAAGGTTTATGTTGCGGGAATGCTGCATTTCTATTGGCCCAATTCATGCCATCTTTATTTATATTCTTATGTACATCAAAATCCCAGTAACCTGTTTGTGTCGCAAAGCCAGATGTGTTAAATGTCTTCAATTAGGTTCATAGAAGACTTTACAATATTCAGATCATCTTTGTTTAGACTCTTATTTTGAAGAAAGAAAAGCAGCAGTTCCTATAAAAGCTTCACACATTAATATGCATCAATATGCTCAATAGAAACTGTCTTAGTGCTGCAGCAGAAGCTAACGTTTACCATCTTCCTTCTTTCCAGCCAATCAGTGGCCAGGAAAACAAATGCTGCTCCTGGATTGGCTGCTGTGCAAAGAGCAGCCAATAGCGTTTAAAGTAGCAGTGTAATTTGCTACTCCTAAGCTACATTTCCTTTCAAATCTTTTAGATGAGCTCAACAAATTAAAAAAACAAAAACAAAATAAAAAAACAAGTTGATGACGGGACTTCTCTGAAAATAATTTTCAGAAAAAAACATAACTCGGTGAATCTGTCAGCACTGATCCGTCACTAGGCGGAGGGTCCACTGTAATAATCAGTTCATTCACTAATGTACTACAAGCCTGGCAGTCTGCCAGGCTTATAATACAGTACATGTGTTCATATAATGCAGGCGAACCGTTGTTTGTTTTTTAAAACACCAATAAGACTAAGAGCAAAGACAAGTTAAAGAGTCTCCTTGGTGAGAAGCACAATGGCATCACAACATGGTCAGAATATGAACACAATTTTAGTCACTGGATCTCTGTAACCACTTCCTGTCTCTACTGGTGTGCATGCTGACAACTTCAGTGAATAAAGCGACAAATCATGGATAAAATATAAAAGAAAAAATCTTCCAATAAGCCATAGTTAGGGAGTCATATTTACAAATGTCTAGTCAACTTTAAAGCTTTTATCTCAAAGACACGACGGGTTCAGCAGACGTTCTGGGAGAAACCCTGAATAATGATTTCATTCTTCAGCTGGGGTGAGTCCAAGCACTCCAATTCAACCAGTAGAGATTTACATCACTGCAGCTTTTTCCTTATTCTGTCATAGTGGATGCACATCACATTAAAACTGGAAAAACATAGGAATCATTTTTCCCTATGATTTCATATATTATTTTACATCACAGAAACCTGGTGGGTGACCTTGGGAGGCCCCCAGCCTGCGGGTTACTCACTGAGGGCGGGCCGCGGCGGGCTGCGGGACACCTCTCTGGGTCTGTAGGCACCCTGCATGGATCCCGCCGATCCCAGCTCCCGGCTCAGAGGGCTGGACGTCTTCCCCAGCTCCATCCCCTTGGGCTTGGAGGTGAGGTTCAGCGGCTGGCTCGCCTCCTGTGGAGAGAGCACACCATCAGGGGGGGCGGGGTCTCTGCCAACGCCAGGCGGAGCGACAAAGGATGAGGGTGTGCGTGGATCCCGGGTATGAACAGCACACACACCTGACATGTTAGAGCACATCCGTCACACCTTAGCAATTTTTTTTGTCTTTTTTTGCCTTATTCTCATCCTCTCATTCCTTTTGTTTACTCAAGCTGTGTTGGTCCATCTCTTCTTGAGAACCTTCCGTGCAAACAGCTTGCGCTGCACCTACACCGCACACACTGAACCTTTGAACAGAGGGTGTGGCGTATTCCTAAAGCTTTTCAGCCTCCTAAATACTAGAAAAACCCATTGTTTGCTCAATCCTGAGAGAATCACTTTCCTTAACATTGCTTTAAACCACAAACACACATTCAGCACCTACACCCAATGCAGAGCAAATAGGTTCCCATCTACCGTCTTAATGGGTGCAATGAAATAGCAGGCGGATAAATGGGAGGTAATGTAAACAAGAGTGTGATGCTGTACCTGGCGGAAGGAGCTGCTGCTCCTCTTGATGGGCGTGTGGTGGCTGTTTGGGAGCAGCTGCATGGGGTAGTCCACTGCTGGAAAGAGGCAGAGCACAGGTTTACAGGCTGCAGACGGATCTGAACGTGGAAATGTCCAGAGCGTGTTTTCGTTGACAGTGGGATCATACAAACTGGAACAGCTAAAGTAAATTTGCTTCATGGAAACACAGCAATTTTGGAAAAACAAAGAAAAATCAATAAAAGTTGTTGTGCTGTAATGAGGTGGTTTTTCTGCAGTATCTAAATTAGTATAATTATAAAACTGCGATGAACGCACTTTCATTGCATTGGGAGAGTCGTCATTTCGTTGTCACCACTTCCTGTCAGCATCTTCAGAAAGGACAAAAGAAAAGCGACAGGAAGTAGGAGGAGGATGACGACGTTGAAAGGGTTTTTTTAATGACATTGCGTGAACAAGTGATTTTAATTACATTTGTCATTTAATGGAAACACCACAGTTGCAAAATTATTATTTTTTATCAACAGTAGCGGGATATGGACAAAGTTTTGCGCATATTTTGTAATGGAAACAGCGACTAATACACTGGGGGGGTCGGAACATTTTCACAATAATGGAGAGCTACTCTGACTAATGCAACATTGTGATAACGTCAATGATGTTTGTGGCTGTAATGTAACAAAGTAAGAAGTTCCATCCTGGGAATACTTTTGCATGAACTGGACCATGCCGCCATGGTGGGTGGTCCGGTCTGACAAGGGGAAAAACAAATGAACATCTACCTGAACATCATCACAGACCAAATGCACCCCTTAAAGAAACAGTATCCCACAATATCAGTGGCATCACTGATGCCAGTTGAAGCAAAACATGGTTCAGGATTGGTTAGAAGAAACAAGAAATTTGAGGCGTAGCTTAGAATTAGAAAATTCAGCGAGTGACAATCTGATTGAAAATAAATATGATCTGTTCCAGTCTGTTCTGATCGGCTCGGTTTGGACTCCAGCTGTACTGGACTGGACTATATTTGGTTCGTTTTATTAAACTTCAATCCTATGAGAGAGAGAAACCAACAAAACAAAACGAGCAAATTTAATGAGCAACTACGTCCATCCCAGTTCATTTAAATCCATTCATCACAGTCCCAACTCGCTCCTGTTCAGTTACCATAGCGACACAGCTCACCTCCATCAGCTGAGAGACATTGCAGTGAGACAACCCAGTTAAGCTGGACTCAATCTATAGCGTGTGGACAAAGCGATGCTCATTCAAAGAGTAATTTACAGAGTGGAAATGACTTTATGGACACGCCATCTCCATGGAGATACCAGCGCTGACGTTGCTACAGTGAGAGAAAAATGTTTCTCAATCGCTGACTCTGCAATGTTTTCATGACTTATGTTTTTATGATGTGGAACATTTTGAACTGACCCGTTTGTGCTTCACAAACAAACTTGATTGATTGAACGACCGATTCATTGAAATGCTCCACATAATTTTTGATGCTATCCAACATCTACACTAACATGTGTAAATCAGGGTGATGATATGGATGTTTTTGGAAATGAGTTTTTCCAGAGTGGAATAATAATATAATAAAACTGCCTAGAAAATTCAAAGAAAAAAAATCCCAAGAAGCCTCAAAGTACTAAAAAAGATCAAAAGAAATCATTGTTATAGCAATCACTGAAACATGATTAAAATGATTGCATTAAATTAATGTTCGCTTGATGTTTTTAATACATCTGACAAACTTAGATAAGATGTGGTGTATGCTGCCCATCTGTCCTATGTGGACATCACATCACTCTTTTAGTTTAGGCTAAAAAACATAAAATAAATCATCGATTCGGGTTTTCAGGAATAGATGCATCATTACAGATGTTAAAACAAAGAGTCTGTTAAGAGCTTTTATATGTTGGCCAAATGAGTTGTGGAACAAAACGCCGGTGATGAGTCGACACGGTGGAAAGCAGAAATGTACTTCCAGATTAGATGAGGTGTAGGAAGGCCTGGAAAGTCTTCAGTTAGTTCACTTCCAAATCATTATTTCATCTTAGTCCATAATTCAAAAGTGAGTTTATATTGGACCATGTTCTGACAGGTGCAGTTTAAATTCACCTAAAGTTTTAGGGAAAATCCCAAATGAACAATACACCATTGATGTTCAGAGTGCAGCTGATGCAAATGTACAAAATTTAAAAAAAAAAATGTAAAAGAGGCACCACCAAAATGAAAGTCAGCGCCTTTCTTCACACACCTGACAACACCTCCTAATTACACATTTCTGAACTTAGTAGATATTCTAACGTTCCTCTAATCTGTTGTTTTTCTCTCCATGCTGACATTTCTCAGTTTCACCGTTTGGTTTTTTTGTGCTGCCCCTTTGTTTTTTACTTCTACTCACTCGGCTTGCAGGGGATGGGCTGCAGAGGCAATGTCATCGGGGGGTCTGAGGAGACGGGGAGGGTCTGGGTGTTGGGGTGGAAAGCCGGGATCATCACGTAGGGCATGTTCACCTGCTGGGACAAAAAAAAGAAGAAAAAAAAAGAGGAACCTTACACAAAATGTTCTGAGGTTATTTTCTCCAGCACTCTAATGTGCTGACCTGCGGCTAGAACTTCTCATTTGTAACGGTCATCTGGTGCTAGCTGCGCCCGCCATGATATATAGAGACACACGAAAGCTCTGGAGAGGAGCTGACCTGGATCTGCTGCTGGAGCAGGTTGATCTTATGCTGCTGCTGGATCAGCTGCTGCTGCTGCTTGGCGATCTGAGAGACAAGGCACATTCATTAGCTGCTGTGTGAGCGACCAATAGACGCACGCAGTGCAAGGGAAAAAGTCAAGAGCACAGCTACAATCTGTCACATTTGCTCAACAGCTGCGTTTCCATTACAGATGTGTGCAAACCTCTGTCTGCGTCGAAAAAACAATTTCGCGTTTGCGGTGTTTCTATTAAATAAAAAAATTTATTAAAATTTGTTGATCATGTGACGCAAAAAACTTCCTTTTATTAAAATTCAGCTGAAGAAAAAAAAAGAATCACCTAACTTGCTGAAATGTATGTTTTTGCGCTGGGATGCACGTTTTCCACTAAGCAAATTTGTTTTTTGTAGCTCCAATTGGTTCCATGGTTGGTGGAAACGCAGCTGGTGAGGTTCTGAAATGCCGGACCACAGAAACGTCTCATATCATCCGACTGATGATGTTCCTGCAGGAAGCCATACCTGCTCCTGCTGCTGCCGGGCCAGCTCCATCTGCTGCTGTTGCTTCTCCAGCAGCAGGGCGGCCATGTTCCTCTGCTCTGAGTGGGCCCCCAGCAGCTGCTCCCTGAGGCCGCTCAGCTGGTTGATCATCATCAGCAGCTGCAGCTCCTTCTCCGCCAGAGACTCCGGGGTGCCTGGAAGCCATCAGAGCAAGAGTGTCAACCTGGTTTTCATTTCATCCCATACACACATCACAAATATCCTAAAGAGGGCCGATGGTGGCAGAATCTGTTGAAGAAACTTCATATTAAGAGACTATTAAAATGTGAATAAATAGCAGTCTGATAAGAATGTGTCAAAGTTAAATAACACTGAACACAACATATTTTGACACAATATAAATGCCGGATTTAGACACGAGTTCGACACCTCTGAAAAACTGAATCTAAAAATGAACATATATTGGAAAATTCTTTTGGTCATTTTTAAGTTTTTTTTTTGTTATAAAAGAGGAACTTGTTTTTTATGAGCAACATTTCAAATTTGACAAAATGTGGATTCCTGTTTTTGCAGGAAATCATTTAATGCTTGCAACTCATTTTCAGTTAGTGATTAATTAAGTATTGACGTTTTTAAAAATAAAAATCACATTCCCGGATGTGACAATTTTAGTAGTACATAATATTGATGTATTCGCCACAGGTGTATTTCAGATGTGCACTAAGTAATGAGGTAGTGATAAAATTGGCTGACCTTGATCCAGACCTGATTGGAGGAAACTCAAACACCAGATCATTTCACAGTTAGGCGGAGTTGTGGTCAGGTGGTTTCAAAACCTCTGGGCTAACTGTGCTAATTTCCTAAATACAACTTAAAACTTCAAATCCATAATTACCAACTGTCTGTTGTTAACAACGACAGTAAAGCAGGATGGAGACGTTAATAGTAGCAGGGAAGATCAAGCATCGTCTTCATTCCATTCAAACACTGCAGCTGTTGCCATAACTTTGGGTCAGTGTCATGACCCCAAAGTTATGGGTCATATTCACAAAAAAATAAATTTTTTTCAAAGATTACAAACCCTTTTCTTTACAAATTGTACACAAAAAAAGTAAATTAATAAAAAATAAAATAAAAAACAGAAATTTGCTCAATTATTTTAAAATAATCTAGCAATTATTTCAAAGTTAATTAATAGCGATCATAGCATGATGCGTTATTATTATTGTGCCCATGCAACAACAACCGCAATCAGTTTTAACCAAACACAGTAAGACGACGAATGGAATATTAAAGCACAGTTGTTCCATTTAATCTGAAAGCCACCAACACTGAATGTGATGAAATACAAACAATACACGCAGCGAATGGAGTAAAGTTGGTTTTTGTTTGTATATTTTTACTTTTTTTTAATCAGAGCTGACCTTTTAGTTGTCCTGCACCGACTGAGCTTTTATCCAGAAGTTTCTCCTTCCAGTCGGCGTTCAGCAGCTTCTCGATGGTCGGCATTACTGTTAACAGAACCAAACAGGCACTCAGCTGAACTGCTCCGCGCTGCACTACACGACACCCAGAACCTACTCTGTCAAATCAAAGCACATCTAACAGTAGCGCTAACTGCTTTCTGCGGCTCCCCGCCCGCCCGGCCTAATGGCTCTGATTGGAGAAGATGGTCGGAATGTCGAAGGCCGCGGGATTGTTTGTGCATCAGGGAGAAATTTGGAGTGTTTGAGTGGATCAATATTTGGAGAGAGAATAAACCCAAGGTCAGAGTGGAGAGAATTTGAGAAAAAAGAAGAAGAAGAAAGAAAAAAAAAATCAACCAAAGAGTTCAGAATTGTGAAAAACTTGAGGGTAGAGAGTGAAGAAAAAAAGCACCTCCAGTCCACTTTAAGTCCATCTGAAACCCAGCAACAACATGACTGTGCTAAGCAACAATACAAAATGTATTTCTCTTAAAATGTTATGAATGTATCTTGAACATATGATAACTTAGAGAGCGTGAATATAAAAACAAAAAGTCTTAGATACTGAAATGTTGCCCTCAGGGGGACGTTGTGTGTCCATTTTCTACACAGCATATGCATTGTCCTCACCTGTGGGGGCTCTGCAACAAGAACCACTGAAGGAAACAACAAAAAAACTTCTGAAGAAGACACTGGGCGCAACCTCCTTCTCCAAATTTTTTTTTAAAAAGGTGGAGATGCTAGCAGCTACTGCCTCCTGTCGCAGGTAAGAGATCACAAACCATTTCTTCCACGAGGCACTCGCCTTGTGCGCTTGTTTTGGTTGAAAGTACCCAGAATTCCCTGCGCTATAACCTGCTTCCTGATTTTGGAAGAAGGTGCACCACACCTGAATAGAATAATTAGGTCATTAGCAAGACTCTGGAGAACAAGGAGGAGGTAATTAAGCCATTTCATTGCTGTGTTTTGTACCTGTGGCACATCTAAAAACTGCAGGACAGCGGCCCTCGAGGACTGGGGTTTGACACCCCTGGTCTAGATAAACGGACTAGAGTTTGATTTTGAACTATACGTCTCATTAGCTGATTCAAAAACTGTCAGGATATTTGTCTGAAAGAACTGATTATCCAATCTGGGGTTGGTCCTAAGGGAACAAATTAAGTAATCAAACGTAAAACTGTTTGTTTATTTAAGTTCTTACACAAACGCAATAGGATTATATTCAGTTACTCTTAAAATATATCAATATGGAGGCCATAAACCTTAGAGACCTGAACATCCAAGAGTTTAATGACCAGAAGGGGTTGGTGATATGAACACCAGTCAGATGTGTACACCTTGACTGTATTTAATCGTATTTTCATATCTATTGATTTTTATTGATACTCACATTGAACAAACAGTGGATAAAATAACCCTCCTGACAATATGGACAGTTGTGGGGGGTTAAAAGCATCATTAGTTAGATTTTATCCTGGCTACAATAATAAATAATCTTATTACGGTTAGAAATTTAAGATGATAAGTGATAAACGATGCAATAAATGTCCAGCCCTACTGACCAGTCATGCAAAAGACTTTAAAAATACCATAAGACCTTTGGGTGGCTATTAGTTATCATGTCTTAAAATTTCAAAAGTAATGTTAGACTTTTACATTGTGATAAAAGAAATAACACTGTCTGGAACACTGGAACACCTATGAAGTATTTCCACCAACATGTGACTCAATCATGACGACAGACCTTCCTTAATTTTGGCTGGCCCCTCTGATCGCTCGTGAATCCCGGCTTCCTTCACTCCCATGGGGCTTTGCTTGTGAGGCGGCTCCTTTCCTGGAGAGCCCTCCTATAAGAACACGGAGCAAGTCATCATCACACTGAGCAAATCTGACTGTTTCAGCAACATTCCCCATTGGGTAGGATGAATCTTTATTATTTTTCAAAGCATCCCCATTCCTCCTAATAAGACTCCTTACTGAAGGGGAGCGCGACAGCGGTGGGGTCAGCTGGCGCGTCTCTAGAGGCTGACTTGCTGACCAGTCGTGCAGAGTTCTGGGGTGCTCCGAGTTGGTTTTGGCTCCGACGCATTCCTCCTGTTCCACTTTGACGCCGATGTCTGCCATGCGTACATCCCCACCGGAGAGGAGGTGCAGAGCTGAAGGGCTGGGCTCAACCATTCTGTTGGAAGAACAAACAAACGCATAATGCTAATTGTCCTCTGGGTGTGGCACGCTGCAAGTCTAATTTGCCCGTTTTTGTACAGGTAGTTGATACTAAGCGTGACTCAAAATGGAAATTACATGGAGACAGGGGAAAGTTTCAGAATTGTCTCATTTCATGCGCTGGCAAACTTAAGATGTGGGCACAGTCCTAATTAGAGGCTTGGCCACAAACACAAGAAGATTAGATGGTTTTTCAGTCCCACCCTGTGTGGTGCTAGCCTTGGCTTGCAAAATGTTCCAACTTGAGCCTGGAGTTCTTTCACAGGGTGGTTCAGGTTGACACGGACTGCAGCCAGGTCCGCTCGTAGTTAGTTACCAGCTTTGACTTTTCGTTGGCCGGTCCAGAGAATGACCTTCGCACTGAAAGTAGCTTTACATGGTGGGATTACGAGTCTGAGGGCAAAACTGTTGATGCATCTCAGATTTCAAAGGAAGACTCCAAATAAGTGAAAAATGCTGAAGATGTGGTCAGGTTGTTGAAGCTGACTATGTCTCGAGGTCAGACGTGAGGTCAGAGGTCATGGCGCCAAGTACATTGGCTTTTCTATCATTTTCTTTCACATGCTTTGCAATTTTTAGTTAATTTTCAAAGGTACATTTTGCACAGTCGGCAAAATCCCACTGAAATGTAATGTAAAATGTTGCATTACATTACATTTAAAATGTTCAAGCTGCACAACCAAAAATGACTAGTAAGTAGCAATGCACATCAAAACAGTTTTTCTCAGTAAACTGTTGAGACAAACCAAGGTTCAAATATTGTTTAGATGATTTTGGCTCAGTGTCACTAATCTAATCTCTGAAACACCTTTACAGAAATGTAAATAAAAATAAGTTTTACTAAGTAAGCCCACTTTGTAAAATTCCTCAAATATTGATTTATTGTATACAGATGAGGTGTTATTTAAATTAGAACTTTAGTTCTAATTTATTTGGTTTTGCCTCATCCTGGATGGCTGAGAACCTCCAATTAGAAATCATGAATATGTGGGAAGCATCAGAACTTAATGCTCAAGGCAACAGGGTTTTCACTGAAATACAAATATATCAAGTGTTATTCAGTCTGGTTTTAAAGACTGCGTTCTCATTAACTTCAGCGGTAGAGAGTTAAATGATTAACACATCTGCTTTAGCCTATCAAAGCAATGTAGCCACTTTTGCTAGTTTTGATTTCCGAGGTAAAATGTGGTATTTTATCGTGACTCAGCCAAAGTAATAAAACAACGAACTGCATTCTGATTTTTATTGTTAGTGTGTTTCGTCCTATTGAGCTACATATGTTTTGCTTTAATTATTTACTTACTGAAGGGGTTTTTTGCTTGTGCAGCATTAACCACAGCTAGCTCCAGTTCAGCCGGGGTTTTTCCGCTGCGCTGCTGTTGCTCCGCCCACACATTGGACTGAATCATTATTGTAACAATGGCGGGGGGGACAGAAAATGTCATCCTTTTTTTCCATAGATGAATGGCGGATTTATTTAGTTTTTTGTTTCTTTTGCATTTTTATATTGACATTTTTTTTATATATACATGGGTTTCTTTAGTGATTTTTTGGGAAAACGAGGTCAAATCTTCACTTCAAGATTGAGGAAGTGGTCCAGACCCTTTAAAGGCCTTTTTAAAGTTTTGGGTCGCACATATGTCAAAATTCATACCATTGTTTTCTTTATGCAAAACTATTGTGATTGCCATTGTCTTGGCATACTGTGTTATCTCACCCCCCCTCCCACCCGTAGCCCCCACTGGCATATTTTTGTGATATGTACACAGTTATGTGTTGTTGTTTACTGTAACAAATAAAGTTCATATAAGACAATATAAGTTTTGGATCCATGAGTACAGTTTATTTGTTTAGTACATTTTAGCAAAAAGGCAGCACAAACTTAGTGCCTCAAATGACAAAACACATAACACGACCAGTTATGAACCAAGCATCAAATGCCATCATCAAGCAAATATATTGATAAATGTTCTTATTAATATTATTTAGGCAATTCGTAACAGGTGAGATCTTAGCCTGGGTTTGAAGGAGGTCGGTGTTTTGGCTGTTTCGCAGTTTTCTGGAAGTTTGTTCAAGATTAAAGGAACATAGAAACTGAATGCTGATTCTCCAAGTCTTTGACATTTTCTGTTCAAATAAAAGAAAAAACTTTATTTAATTAAAATAGATCAAGATTTGTTTATATATATATATATATATATATATATACACGTACAAACAAACAGTTGTAGAAGTCCCCTGTCAGACACATCCACTTCTTAAAAATATTTTTGTAGCACTTTGGGTTCAAAATGACCAAAATTAGAATGGAGATGGGTGGAAAAAAATGAGCAAAACCTCCACAAGCCTAATCCAGGTTACAGTGACCTGGTTACGGTCAAGTTAAAATCAGTGTAAGGCTCGACTGCGTGAGTCTGTGACAGGAAAACAGAGGGAGACAGGACAGGTTGATTGAGAGAGGTCTGAATCCACACAAACCTGAACAAACACCAACTCGGGATTGTGTGTGTGTGTGTGTGTGTGTGTGTGTGTGTGTGTGTGTGTGTGTGTGTGTGTGTGTGTGTGTGTGTGTGTGTGTGTGTGTGTGTGTGTGTGTTATTTCCAAGCTTTACAACCGGAGGAAAAGAAAACCACAGCAGACAGCAGAACAAAACAAACAGAACACACAAGGGCAAAAAGTGCACATATATATAAAGAGGCAGAAAAAAAAGCTATTGTTGGAGTCGGGGAACAAAGGAAGCCAGGACAATGGGGGAGAGGCTGACAAAAGCCGCCGGCCGCAGGAAACGGGCCGGATAACAATGCCAGCGGAATGTGCCGACCAACTCGGGAACACGGCGAAAAGAAAAAAGAAAAAAAAAAGCGGAGCGCCACCGTTCTGTGGAAAGCATAATAATGACTCAGACCCCCCCCACACCCCCTCCACTTTGGCCAGCTCTCCCAGACTGCACACCCTGTTTCTGAACAAAGGCACCTGTCTGCCAGGGTCCACGGCTCCAGACCTCACCATGCTTCAGTGTGTGGGTGTGACTGTGAGGAGACGTATACAAATAGGTAGTAACGGTGACCTCATTTAACTATTATATTGCATCAAAAGTTGAGGTTTAAAGCCAACTCGCCAAACAAGACTATTCACCATGCGGAGTTCACAAAAGCAAGACGAGGAGATTTTAACAATATTTACAACAACAAAAAAACAAAAACTGAAGATCAATTTATCTTCCGTTATTGTTTTGTAAGTAGAGAAAAAGTTACATGAATCTATATGCAGCTCTGGGGAGAAAAAAAATGAAGAGCTCCTGCACTGAACCCCACAGAAAACCTCCTGATTATTCCACCAAATATTGATTTCTGAACTCTTCCTGACTTCAAACATTAGTATTGTTGTGTCTAAATAAACATGAACTTGCTTTCACCTGATATATTTGTTCAGTTGAGATCTGAAACCATTGCACCTTTTCCTAGTTTTGACCATTTTTCATTTTCTGCTAATAAACACAAAATTTTTGCTTAGAATTTTGGAGACATATTGTCAGTAGTTTACAGAAGAAAAGAACAATGTTCATTTCACTCTAACATAGAACTATAAAGAGTAAAATCAGAGGATCTGAAGTGATCTCTGAAACTTTGAATACACAGCTCTGGAACACATTTTGTTTTTTTTTTGTTTGTTTTTGCTTGTTCCAACTGTCCAAAAACAGCGAACAAAAAACTGCCTTTTAAACTTTTAAGAATAATTATACTAATTATATAAATTTTACAATTAATAAAAAAAAAAATCTCTTTCAAATCTTTTCCATTTCGGAATGAAAATGTGAACATCATTTTTCTCTACAGAGGAATACGTGAGCCTGTTTGCATCTTTGATGCATGTTGAATAAAGAATTCCATAATAAGTTGAAATTTGCACAATGTTTTAGTTTACGATCTCTCAAGATTTATTTATTTTTTTGTATAATCACTCAGCCCTGAAAAAAAGTCCAACTCTTCACAGTCAATTAATCTGTCTTTCATACTCATAATAAATTTCTGCAAACATCTGTGTGGAGCTACACACATAGCCATGGTGGCAAATTGTCCAATGTGATGTCACAGAACTGAATGACTTAAACAAGACTGTATGCCTTCATCAGACACTTTAAACATCCAACCCTGTTGGGTTTTATTCTTCTGTTGATAGCGTGTGTTGGTTCAGGAGGTTGTGTCGTTTTACTTGTGCTGCCGCCAAACCTGTTTAAATATGGCCGAGCCCATCGCCAAAAACAAACAGGGACCAAACCAACAGTTAGAAACTCCCTGCTCAAAACTTCATTTTCAAAACTCCACAGTTTAAATGAGCTTTTCAAAAATCTTTGTTCCGAGAGAGTTGATGCACCGTAGCTGTTTTTCTGTGCATTGCAACGTGGAGAAGTGTAGAAGTGTAGAAGTACGTTGACATTGCAGTTTGAAGTCTGGTGTTCTAAGTTTTGAGGCATAAATATAGAAACGCCTCCTGAAGTCTGGACTCCAGCAGTCGGAGCTTACCGAGCAGCCCTGAATTTCATGGTTGCTGCTCTTAAAACTCTTGATGTTTGATAACCACTATAAAACTTGCATTGTTAGCTGGTTGGCCAATAGCAGCTGGCATTGAAACAAAGCAGATGGTACTAAGTTCTGAGTGAAGGTAAAGTTGTTCCAACTTCTAATTTGCATGCAAGACTGCATTAATTTGAGTGAACTTGGGTGTTTGTACTAAAATCTTAATATACAATGTAACTTACTCAGTTGACTGCAGGTGAAACTCCAGAGTGGATAAAACAGCTGTAAACATGTGGGCCTGGCTACTTGACTACTTTTAGCTCTTAAAGTGACCTGAATTATTGCTGTATGTTTGTTTTAGATCACAAGCCGGCAGAATTGGAAGTTAAACTCTTGTGAAGCAGAACAAAACACACACACACACACACACACACACACACACACACACAGGCAATTCAGATTCACATTTAAAGCCAACTGTAGTCAGGGAAGCATTTCAAACGCGCCGATTCACGTTCCACTCATAACTGGAATAAATCAACAGCTTTCAAATAAAAATCGGCATGAGCCTCATCTTGTTTGACAGCTATTTTCAGGTGTTGTGTTTGTTTGTGGATATTTATGAAGAAATAAAATCAGGGGGGTGGAGAGGGGAAGGGTGAAGAGGGAGAGGTGGGAAACTGTTTGGCCAACACGGCAGCGGCCGCCGTCGGCAAGGGGTTGATTGTGCGACGGCGGGAGGGAAAGGGGAATGGAGGGGCGGGAGGGCGCGCACGGCGGCGACACGCTGAGTCCAGTCCCACGCTCAGGAGTTATTCCTGGGTCTCCCCTCGGCGTTCCAGAGGGAGCCGGACTGCACGGCTGCCACAGGTGGTGTTCACACGCTCAGGGTGAATGTGTGTCACCGGCTGCGAAGGTATGCACAGAATCTCAACGACCCACAGCGCTGTTGACAGCGAGGAATGCGCGTCAAAGGTGTGTGTACTTTTCACCAGCGCAAAAGGTTTTTGTTTGTACTCTCTTGGACAATGCCGTCGGCATCTTAGCGAGAACAATGCAATCCAGTCAAGGTTGCCGCTTCAATCCCTCTCCTCTGGTTGAACAACGCACTCACGAGCCTATCCGCGGCAGACTGCAGCCATGCAGAACCCGACCTTGCGTGTGTGTGTGTTGCATTATTTGAAAAGCATTGCCTTCTTGCGAGGCTATCTGATTGAGGCCTGTTTTTTTTTTCGTCTTTTTTTGCGACCACCTACGAGGCTGTTTGGGCTTCTACACGGCGTTGCCGCATGCTGCTGAGAAATCACAATGAAGCCGACCTCCAAGCAGATGCTGAGCTTTACAAAGTAGAACAAAGTGAGTGAGCAGAAACTTGTATTAGTGCCTACGGTGTGTGTGCATAAAGCAGGAAATAAACCAGCCAGAGCAGGTGATCTTTGTTGTGGAGGGGAAAGCATTTACCTGCAGTATCAAAAAAAAGGAGTAGTAAACCAGACCTTTCAGTCATGCATACCCATCACTAGTTATGATTACTCCTGCAAAACAAGACTAAGAAAAGGAAGAGACATGAACAGTTTAGTTAAAACTATTGTCCATTTAAAAAAAAAACACACACCTATTAATCCATTATTTCATGCTCTTTATGGAGTTTAAACTACTTTTGCTGAGCTGGCAAAGAAAGTGTCAGTCGTACATATTTCAGCCCTAATCCTCCTTGACATGTTGCTGCACACTGCCAGCTGGATGGCTGAAAGACAGCTGCTGTGTTTTGCAACACTTTCACAAAAGTCAACTTAACTGTTCAAGGGAAAAAATGGCAGTGTTAGTAAACAAGGAAGGATAGAGTGAAAACTACCAGCTGTTGTAATTCAAATGATTCATGTTATTCAACTTAGGTAAAGGTCTTTGTGTCAAATACTTTGATACAGTGAAACCATTGCATTTTCACTATGGGACACTATTTTGGTAAACTATTAGTTGTTTACTAAAGGAAGATTAGTCCCCCACTTTTGGCAAAAAAACTCCACTTTGCTTGCCTAAAGTGCCCGGTTTGTTTAGGTAGGTGTGAATTCGCAATCAAACTCTGATGAGGACCAAAAGAAAAACAGCAAACTCTGAGCCACCTAAAAGCTCAGGTCTCTGTTCAGTTGAAGTGAGTGCTGCATTCATGAACACCGACTGAACTGGAGACCAGTCCAAGAACAGGAAGTGAACTATAGCACAGGGCATTCTGGCCAAATGCAACCAAAACAAACGAGCATGTCGAGCACTAATGGCAGGAACGGCTCGAGGTCTTTGACCAAAGACAAAAAAGAAAAATCCTCCAGCCGCTAAAATCTGACACAACTCCATTTTTGTTTGTATTTTGTGAAGAAGAAAGTTGGGCTCGGTGTCTTCTTCAGACGTTTCTGTGTCGTGCCCTTCAGTGGTTCTTGGTGCAGCGCCACCAGAGGTGAGGTGGGTGAACAGATCGCTGTGTGAAAGAACTGCAGCAGCTGGAAATATCCCTAATAGAACAGAGTGTACCGTACTACCTAAATGTTTTCTGCAAACATTTGTAGAAATGTATATTTTTACCTTATAAGTAAAAGGTTTGACAACAATGATTAATCTTGAGAGAAAAAAAATCAGCTGCAACATCCTGTGTTTCTTAGCTTCTATAAAACCAGAGGATTTTTTAAATAAAGCAAATAAATAAATAAAACATAGAAATTGATTCACAAAGAAAATTTTGCCAGCCAGCAGGCAGCTAGTAAAGGACACTTTGCTTACAACCTTTTTTCCAAGAAAACAACACCAGCCCTCAGAGTGTCCAGGAGGTTACAGCAAACACACATGAAGCTTCTTCTTCTACATTTTCTAATGCTGTACTTGTAAAATGTTTAGCCAACAACCTAGCCATCGCAAACTTAACCGCTTCAGAAACATAGAGTTGTGTTGCTTCATTCTACTTCCATGTCGGCTGTACTGGAGCGTTCAAACAGAGTGAGACGCCTCTGCTAGTAACTTAACAGGTTTTATGGTGTGTTTGGCTCGACCCTGTTAATAGGAGAGCTGCTCTCACTGTTGACACAAACGATGCAAAAATACGTGCCAGCAGATTTCCGCGGGCCCCAGAGATGAATCCTTAGTCACATGAGTGTTGGGACTGAAGCGGACAGCAGAGTGGTCCAGACCTTTGTAAACCAACACCACCCCAAAACACACACCGCCTTAAGCTGGTGCTGCACAGAGTTACCTGACAGTTTCTGCCAAGTCGGCAAAGAAAATTTTTTCCAAATGGTCAATTCATGTGTATGGGTCACGATTGGCTAAAATAACCTTTAATTTTTAAAATCGGTGAAAAGCACAAAAACTTTTGTCATAACCGGTTGTTTACCTTCAAGTCTTCCCGTCTCCCTTTCAATCATACAAACTACTTTGTTAAATTTGTTTACCATGCGGCTTATGAAAAGCCTCTCTTTCTGCTCGTAAGCGGTCAAATCAACAAGAAAGTTTTAAAAGCCCAAAAACCAAAAGATTCATCTCAAAAACATTTTTTTCCAGAGAAGCAGTTATAGTCAGGGCTTACAGGTGAAAGGTTAGTGACCTGCATGTTCGGAAATGATTTCTTTAGTTGCCTCTAAGTATAAGCATGTGACACATGCAGGCAGAACAATGTTCTGTTTTAAGTTGTTCTTTGTTTCTTTTTCTGTTGTTGATCTCTACAGATGACAGCTCACTTTTGGTAACTTTAAGGAGAAACCTTAAAGGTGAACTGACCTTTCACAACAAGTCCATGGCTCGGTCTCCAAGCGGCGTTTCGGTGTGTTGTACCACGAGTCGTTCACGATTTGGCGCTGCCGGCCGGCCGAGTCCTCCTACCGCATGAATGACAGCAGACAGAGGAAACCTCTGCTCTCAGATAAAAATCAACTCCTCTCCCTTTTGAGCGCCTACAACACTGAAACGTTGCACTTCCCACGACAAGAATCACTTCACACAAAAACTTCAGTTACCCAACAAGTTGTAACTCGCAAAACCTAACATTTAGTCCCCAGGGGGTTGGCAATGCAAATCCCTTCTGTTGTTCTCTCTTTCCCTTTTCTTTTGTTTCTTCCTTCACTCTATCTGTCATTGTTTTTGTTTCTTCTTCGCCTTTCCCCTCCTGACAAGAGCAGCTTTTCGGGCTTATATCATCCCAGTTTCCTTTCAATGAGTGCCCGGGGCAAAATTGTTCAGAGCACACAAAAGCCAGAGTGCGTGAGTGCCAGGAGGCTTACTGAACAGATGAAAGACGTGTTAGACATCTAAAGGTTTACTTGCCAATATATAAATAAAGACAATTGCATTGTCATCACTGTGACTGACAGCTGCAATGAAAAAGAAAAAAAAGATTCATGCAAGAATCTCATGAAACTCCATTTAATTCAAACATTAAAACACATCGAGACAAAAAAAAAAAAAAACTTTCTTCGTGCCAGATTTCCACAGCGCCATAACAACATCTCCCTGATTAACACGCCATTTCTCACGCATTGTTCAATTGTCAGCAGCTTTTCGTGACAGGGTTGCCCACGGTGAGTTCCGACCTGCCGCGGTCGTGTCAAGACAAGTGTGAAGCGATGTATAAACAAATGTTTGGGGAAATGTTTCGCAGTTAGCAGTATTTGCTTAGGGATGATAAAGCAATCCAGCCGCCGCTGCTGCTGCTGTTGCTGCAGCTGCTGCAGCAGCAGCGGCGGCGGCCGGGCCGGCGCGGTCTGCCCACAGGGCCTGGCTCCGGCTTATCGTGGAAAAGAGCTTCCAGCAAAGCGGAGCAGCGTTTACACTAAACCGCATCGATGCACACACGACTGAGCTCACTTTTTGATTCAAATCGAGAGGCATGTGTCGAGAGGCATGTTTGAAGAAAAATGTGAATTTCAACTAAATTGTAATAAAAAGAAAAACCCACAACCTTCTCCATGCACTTTGTACTGACCTGCCCGGGCCCGCTGGATGTGCGGGGATCCAAAATCTCTCCCTGCCTGGAACAGAGCGGCTGACACAAGTCATACTGACTGACTGAGTCTGCTGCTCCTGTAGCGTCGGTCTGTGTTTCTGTTACCTCTGACCCATGCAGCCCGCCCGCCCGCCGGTCCCCGCGCCCCCCCAGACTCTCCCCTCAAGAGGGGAAGCAGCACAAAGAAGCTCTTCAGATCCCACCGCACGGCCTGCGCATTTGCATAATTAGCACGCTGTTGCAGGTAGAGGCTTCCCGGGCGCGATAGAGATCAGGCGGCCAACCAACAGGTGTGATTTTCATGTGATAAAGCGCATTCATCGGAGGAGGACGATTTCTAACAAAGTCGGCTTTATCCCCTCCGTTATGATTTCCTGGACACATGACCGCAAACCGGAGAGCCAAGCCAGAATAATATGTGGAGGGTATTGTGGATTCAGCGTTGGAAAAGAAAACATTTACATAGCAGAGAGGAGGGAGAATAAGGCATCACTGTTGCTGCTTTTCACTATTTTAAAGTTGAGAAATTACTGTATGACTGTCACAGTTTGCAGCTGTCCGGGCTTTGGTTTGCTTCTTTGTTTGGCTTTTTTTTATTATTATTATTTGTTTTTGCAACATCAATGGAAAGAAGAGACTTTAAATTCCAATTAAGAACTGGATATTCATGGTTTAAAAAAAACATTTTCCAGGAAATGTCAAAAAAAGAGGAGGAGTGTCCCTCTTTTGTACCCACACAAGTTCATTTTCCATTTTGATACTTAATTAGGCTATATTCATTTATCTGATTCCATTTTGTTTTGAGGTTATAATAAATAAATAAATAAATAAATAAATTAATTAATTTTTTTAAAAATCACTTGAATGTTTCGGCTCCAGTTGTTCTTTAGGCTTTAGTCGTCAAACTTAACCAAAACCAAACCACAGCATCATGAGCGTCCCTCTTGCTGTCAGATATTTACTGGAGTAACAAATCAAGATTTTAATGAGGCAATTATTCAAATACTCTGTTATCAAAGTGAGTATGAATGATCAATTTCAAAACAGAAATCTCAGGAGTATTGATCGCAATTATTATTATTTTTTTATCTTTTCTATATGAATAAATATAGGCTATGCTGAAACTGCTGGGCGACTCGGCGTGTTATTGGTCAGTGTTTTCTAATATAGTCAATCCTGGACCATCATTCATTTTCCTCAGAGTTGATTGAACCTCCGTGGAAAACTGTGCATGTGAGCTTCTGCAGTCGAGTTTTGGGTTATTGTAATAGATTTGTTTTAATCAATGTATTTGTAGAAATAACAAAAGAAGTTTTCTCCTGGACAATCCCTATCAAAGCTCCACCCACTTTTTGGAAGAACTTCTTACACTTTAGATAAGATGTAACTATGCTTGTACCTCTTTTATGCAAATCGGGATTTTTAGTTTCTCATAAAACGCTTTTGGTAATGAAGTCACTTTGGTTGTTTCTATGCCTGTGATGGGCCTGGGGGCCTGTGATGGGCCTGGGGGTCTGTGATGGGACTGGGGGCCTGTGATGGGACTGGGGGCCTGTCCGGGGAGTCTGTCACTTAATTGTCACTTAATGAGAATAAGAGAAAAATACTAGTGCACCTTGACTGATGGAGAGATTTACTGTGGAAGAAAGTGGGATCTATCACCAGCAGGTCACATGACTCAATCACAGAAGTGTTTTCATGAAAATAACATTTCTGGGTTTTTTCTTTTTTTTCAGAAACCCAACTGATATACCCTATGGTAGAACTGGAAACAGCCATCCATTTTCTGAACACCCTTGTCCCTAGTGGGGTCAGGAGGGGTGCCAGTGCTTGTCTCCAGGGAGACATTTCTGGACAGGTTGCCAGACCATCACGGGGCAACACAGAGACAGACAGGACAAACAACCATTCACACTCACACCTAGGGAGAATTTAGGGAGACCAATTAACCTGACAGTTATGTTTTTATACTGAGGGAAGAAGCCGGAGTACCCAGAGAGAACCCAGCATGCACCGGGAGAACATGCAGACTCTGTGGAGAAAGTCCCCAGGACCAGGACCTTCTTGCTGCAAGGCAACAGAGCTACCAACTACACCACTGTGCAACCCTACAGGAAACATATAAAGATGATAGGGATCAATTCTAACCCAATTCTATTTTAACAGAGCAAACGCTTTCAACTGGTATTACAGTTTTGATCATGCACCAAGGTTTGGTTCTCATTTTTCTAGATGGAATGCAATGTAATCCTCTTCCCAGTGGTTCTGCAATAAGCTGAACTTTAGAACATGTTATTTGTTAGAATTTCATTTGCTCCCTTAATCGGTTTGGACTACATTATGTGCCATTATCCAACTAATTTTAAGAACATTTCAGAAGCAGATTTAAATACAATTTGATGGCCGTAGAAAACTTTTAAATTCTTCTGGAGAATACATGTTTCATGTCTGGGATCATTGTTTTCCTTTCTAAAAATTTAATTTGTAGCACACACAACCACTCACAGCAACACATGCAAACGTACACACACGCACACACTCAGCTCTTCAACAAAGCCTTCTTGCGGTGCTGACTGAGTCTCATTAGAGAATGAGCTCTCAGGACCGGAGACACAATTGCCTCCCTCTCTATGTCTTTCTTTCCCCTCTCTTCCTCTGTTCTCTTGGCCTTTTGATGTCAAGGGTACTGAACCGTAGAGCGCAATCCAAAGAATAAGCTCATCAACAGTGGCACATGTGGCTTTCTCAATTTTTTAGGGGGTGATTTTTCTCTAATTGTGCTGAATGTGCGCACACACTGGGGAGTGGACACACACAGAGCAGAGAGTCCTGATAAGATGCTGCTGTTCTGTCGACGCTCCTCAGTTCATCACAAACAGCAGTGTTGGGAACTCTGGTGCTGCGATTGACTGATAGAGACATCACAAAGACTGCATTTTACTCCCCTTTTCCTCTTGGAGTTCAAGAGGCCCGCCCACAGCATACACACACACACACACACACACACACACACACACACACACACACACACCCACCCACACCCCCCCCCCCACACACACATACACACACACACACACACACACACACACACAACACACACACACACACACACACACACTCAGCTCATCTCAGCACGTCTCGCCGACCCAGTCCATGTGCTAAACACAGATGCAACAGCCGTGGAATCAGTTCCAGTAGAGAAAGACATTACTTAGCAAAATGTCTGAGACAAAAGACATAAACATGTCTGCATTTTGTTATTTTGAAAAAAATCTGGACTCCTGCAGAAACTAGGGATGCACCAATCCACTTTTTTCCCTTCCAATATCGATACAGATAGCTCAGGTTTAGGATCGGTCGATACCGATCCGATACAGAAAAACAGCTAAAATGACTTAAAATGTTTCTTTTTTTAAAATAATGTACTGAGTTACAAATGTATTTGATAACTTTGCACCAGTACAGCCCACTGAAATATACCAATAGCATCGAAACCTTGGTCCAATATTATATATATTGGACAATTTTTTTTTTATACTGTAGATTTTTTCGCCTATATTATATTTATATTTTGGCAATAAAAGTGGGTGATTTTGGGGGACACAATCACTTAAGGCAAAAAAAAAAAATCACTTTGGCCATTATTTTTGTGATGTTGTGTTTAAGTGGACCAACTCCCATGTACTGTGCCAAATGGGAGAAATTTGGAGTGAAGTACAGGGGCCAAATACATATTCATGTTCTACCTTGTTATTGGATAAAAATAAAATTAGGAGAACCATTATGATTTTTCAAAATGCCAGTAAAGCACATTGCAGTTCATGTCTGTAACGTGATGGAATCTGAAAAGGTTCAAGCGGTGTGAATAATATTTCACAGTAGGTCTACTACATATGATTCAGTGATCCTTCTGCTAACCAACAAAGAAATCAAAAGTGGGTATGTATTATTAATTGTATTACTATTATTTGGTCATCAGTCGCAGTGGGAGCTTAGAGAAGGCTATTGTCAATGCAACATTTCCATAGAATTTGGATACCCACAGTGACCCATTCAACAATATTACTTCTCTATGTTATAAATCTGACTCACTCCAGAGTTCCTTTCTATATTCCAATAGTTTCTATTCTATACAAATACAGACTGAGTCAGGCTTTGCTTTGTGCTTTGTGTTATTTTTTTTCTTCAGATTTGAGCATTTATCAAACAGGAAAATAGTTGCCTTTTTTGTTCCATTATAATAGGCTACTTATCTGTTTGAAAAAAAGAAAACAAAACTTTTGGACTTGCTTCTTCACAGGGGATTGTGGGTGTTGGCACGGTCTGAGTCACGAAGTGTGGCAACTCACCTTGATTTCCTAAGAGCGCACAACTTTCTTTTTCCCCATTTTTCTGAGAGCCTGTCTGCTTTTTATGGTACAGCTGAGTTTTTATGGGTCTGATGAGCAACTGCATTGTGTTTCTTTAACAGTACATGCATAACCCCATCCAAAACTTGTTTTATCTCCCAGTCAAACTGAAGTTGGTGTTGAACAAAGAGGGAAGATTTGTTCAATTTGGGTTTTGCTCTGGTTCAGCTTCAACTCACATGGCGAAACCTGCAACAAGTCAAGAATCATTTCTTCCTAGAGATCTTAGAGGGTTAAAAAGACAAACTAGTAACAGTGCTTCCACTGACTATAAAATTGAGCAAATTGAAATTAGCTGAATGGAAACCTGCTGATTTAAGTTACATTAAAACTAAAGCACAAAGTAAAGCCCCAGAAAAGTCCCTTTTTACAACACAGAAAGAATCAAAGCGGGACTGCAACGGCATAACAAAACTGAAACACTGAGTCATATCTTATATTGACAAATAAATGATTCAAATCTGATAAAAGTTTAATAATTTCTATACAGTCAGTTAGTGCCCCCAAGTGATCAGAAAAAATATAGCTGAAGTAACTCCTCTTCAACTTTTTCTCAACTTCGTCAGTGCAGACAAAGCGTCCGTGTTGCATAGCATGAAACTAAGTCATGTTATTATTGTGTCATTATTGCAGCATTTTTATAG